CCCGTAATATGTAGCCAACATTTGGAAGAAGAATGTTTTCAAGATGACTTGGATAATAGCGCATTGTGACAAACACCAGATACAGCACTGGGACTTGATCAACAGCCGATACCGCACCGTGACGTCACTAACCAGTAGGTGGCAGTAGTGTTCTTTGACAAACATGGATGCCTCCAGTAAAGCACATTCACATGAAAATTACTCTGAATTAAAAACACTGATCATTTATTGAACAGGATGGAATCATTTCATGTATGAGCGGATTTTTCCTTTAAAGGTGCGTTCACAATGAACACAAATTTAGCAACAAAAGACTCCCACGTTCTCTCTACATAAAGGCCAGACCTGAAGCGAAACGAGGCGAACTTAGGGAGGCGTACGGCATGATTATGGCGATGTTTATGACATTTGATCGCCTCCTTGCCAACAAATGAAGCTGAAAATGTTGTTTACATTGGGGAATAGATGTTTCAACTCCTGCAATTAGCCTCTATAGCTCCAGCTAGCCGTAGCCTCCCCAAGCTCTGCCTCCCTGGCTGGCTTCTCTGATGAACCTATTCCCGGGAAGCAATAGTCTCTAACCCGCCTTCAATGTTCTGTCTCCTCGGTGGACCGATCTACTGCTATCCTCCTCTGTTCTTCCACAGTTAGCTTCTAGAGCTAGCCCCAGCCAGCTCTAGCCTCTCCCCACTGGCGCTCTGTCCCCATCGCCCCTCTCTCCCTTCACTCTCTAGTGTGCCGAGTCCCCAGAGGGATCCTCCGGGGCCTGTTCCGTCCAAACCGGTTCTGTCTCTGAGAATCTAGTGAACTGAGGAACGTAAAAACCCGCCATGATGTAGGAGCCTTCGTCCAGGTGAATTTCAGGGCAAGTAAAAGCAGAAAAACTGGAGAATTGTTCCCAGGTTTAGTGTTTGGTGTGAATGCACCTTAACGGGACGTTATTAATTAGTCTGTTGGAAAAAAATTGGATCTTATAAGCCGTTAATCAACAATTATTAATTGATTATTAGTTTACATCCCTGGTTTAAGCCGGTTTAGTCCTGATATCGGGTTAAATTGGTTCGACCGAAATGAAAGCTCTGATATCTGTACTGCATCGGAAATAAAAAACGGGACATTTAACTCCATCCTTCTGCTGTCTGCTCGGAACAGCTGAAGAAAAGCAACCCCACACCATGACACTGCCATCGTCGTGTCCCACCGCGGTGGTGTGTTCAGGATCATGTGTTTTAACAAAAACAACTGAAACATCCATCTTTGTTTCCATCTTCTGCAGTCTTTGGTTGAAAGGCGGGGTCCATCCTGGACAGGCTGCTGGGAATCGAACCCAGGACCTTCTTGCTTCAAGGAAACAGAAATAACAGAAGGTTTCTTGAAATGAGCGTATTTTCCCTTGAATTGATCGGGTAAGTGAAGCAATCTGCCATATTGGTAGATCGCTGGGTCTGATGTTGCTCCATCCAGATCTGGGATACTTTCAGAAACTAACCCTGGACCAGAATCCCCCCCCTGCCTGACCCGACTGCTGGGTTCTGCACTGTAAATAATATCCGTAGAATTAACAGTGAATTCCTGTAAAATCATGACATAAAAAAACTGTAGATGCAAAAACAATGAAGCATTGTGTAATTTACAATGATAAACTGTAAAACTCCTAACCAAATAAAACTGTTCATTTTACAGTAAGAATATGTTGAATAGATCAGAATTTTTTGTATAATTAGCAAATTAATGTAATTTAAACACAAATTAACTGTAATGCCAAAAAAAAGTCATACAGTTAAAATTACATCATTGCCCTGTTAAAAAAAAAGTCAGTAGCCTAAGCTCTTTGGCACATTTCATAAAACGAGTTTTTGCCTCGGCAACCGCCCGAGCCGCTTGTCGCTTGGACTGCTGATACCCATCAGCTGCCTCTGGAATCCCACAGGCAGGGAGCACTGAGTCCATTAATGGTACTCATCATAAGGGGTCTTTGGGCTGCGCTTCGACAGATCCCTAACCTAATTTTGTTTACCATTTCGTAAAACTCTAAACCAAATAAAACTGTTAATGTGTTTAAAAGACAATACTTTTTTTTTAAGAATAAATTAGGAAAGTGAAGCTTTATGTACAGGTGCTGGTCATAAAATTAGAATATCATGAAAAAGTAGATTGATTTCAGTAATTCCATTTAAAAAGTGAAACTTGTATATTATATTCATACATTACATACAAACTCATATATTTCAGATGTTTATTTTGTTTAATTTTGATGATTACAAATGACAACAAATGAAAATCTCAAATTCATCATATCAGAAAATTAGAATATTGTGAAAAGGTTCAAAATTGATGGCCCCTGGTGCCACACTCTAATCAGCTAATTAACTCAAACCACCTGCAAAAGCCTTTAAATGGTCTTTCAGTCTAGTTCTATAGGCTACACAATCATGGGGAAGACTGCTGACTTGACAGTTGTCCAAAAGACGACCATCGACACCTTGCACAAGGAGGGCAAGACACAAAAGGTCATCGCTAAAGAGGCTGGCTGTTCACAGAGCTCAGTGTCCAAGCACATTAATAGAGAGGCGAAGGGAAGGAAAAGATGTGGTCGAAAAAAGTGTACAAGCAAGAGAGATAACCGCACCCTGGAGAGGATTGTGAAACAAAACCCCTTCAAAAATGTGGGGGAGATTCACAAAGAGTGGACTGCAGCTGGAGTGAGTGCTTCAAGAACCACCACACACAGACGTATGAAAGACATGGGTTTCTGCTGTCGCATTCCTTGTGTCAAGCCACTCTTGAACCACAGACAGCGTCAGAAGCGTCTTGCCTGGGCTAAAGAGAAACAGGACTGGACTGCTGGTGAGTGGTCCAAAGTCATGTTCTTTGATGAAAGTATATTTTGCATTTCCTTTGGAAATCAAGGTCCCAGAGTCTGGAGGAAAAGAAGAGAGGCACTTCATCCACGTTGCTTGAAGTCCAGTGTAAAGTTTCCACAGTCAGTGATGGTTTGGGGTGCCATGTCATCTGCTGGTGTTGGTCCATTGTGTTTTCTGAGGTCCAGGGTCAACGCAGCCACATACCAGGAAGTTTTAGAGCACTTCATGCTTCCTGCAGCTGACCAACTTTTTGGAGATGCAGATTTCATTTTCCAACAGGACTTGGCACCTGCACACAGTGCCAAAGCTACCAGTACCTGGTTGAAGGACCATGGTATCCCTGTTCTTAATTGGCCAGCAAACTCTCCTGACCTTAACCCCATAGAAAATCTATGGGGTATTGTGAAGAAGAAGATGCAATACACCAGACCCAACAATTCAGAAGAGCTAAAAGCCACTATTAGAGCAACCTGGGCTATCATAACACCTTAGCAGTGCCACAGACTGATCGACTCCATGCCACGCCGCATTGCTGCAGTAATACAGGCCAAAGGAGGCCCAACTAAATACTGAGTGCTGTACATGCTCATACTTTTCATGTTCATACTTTTCAGTTGGCCAACATTTCTATAAATCCTTTGTTTTTATTGGTCTTCAGTAATATTCTAATTTTCTGATATGATGAATTTGAGATTTTCATTTGTTGTCATTTGTAATCATCAAAATTAAACAAAATAAACATCTGAAATATATGAGTTTGTATGTAATGTATGAATATAATATACAAGTTTCACTTTTTAAATGGAATTACTGAAATCAATCTACTTTTTCATGATATTCTAATTTTATGACCAGCACCTGTAGGTCTAGTTAACACGGGATGCCTATCCATGATGATATTTGAATGGAAAACGCAGCTGAATCAAACCATGGCCATCTGGAAGAGGACTTATTGAATCGATTCTCTGCTCTACATATATTGGAATTTTTCATGAAACCAATCATTGGTAAGTAAACAATTCTATTTTCTGTTTATTCCTGCTATGTAGGATAGTTTATTTTACAAATAATTTGTTCTTTGCAGGAGAATATCAAATTATTTTGGTTCAAATGTTAGCTCCGCCCATTCACAGGCTGTATTTGCGTATCAGCGTCAACGTCCCACAGAGTGGCTACTAGCTAGGTTGGTAACACGTGCGTGTTCGGCTCTCTTGCAGTTGCACTTAACAGACACCAAGTTTGAGTAAGTAATGTCTCTGGTTCTAGCATCAGGTTAAGTCAAAAGACAATTTTGTGAAACAAAACAGCGCGTTTTTATAGATTTCAATGGCTGATAGGCGAACTTCACATTGCTACTGGCTGCTAGCAGCTAATATCTATTTTGCCTGTTTCAAGCTCCCCACGCCATGATTCAGTAAGTAATGTCTCTGGTTCGAGCATCAGGTTAAGTCAAAAGACAATTTTGTGAAACAAAAAGGCGCGTTTTTTTGTTTTTATTTCACTGGCTGATAGGCGAACTTCACATTGCTAGTGGCTTCTAGCAGCTAATAGCTATTTTGCCTGTTTCAAGCTCCCCACGACATGATTCATTGTCATTTTTGCGGGAGAACATTGCACACGTTAAATGGTTCTGTGTTGCATTGTAGGGTTGTGATGTTCCATTATGTGGAGGACACTTGCCTGGCTAGAGAAGTGGACATCAACAGAGTTCCCTTGACTCCCACGATTGTTGTATGTGGTAAGTTAACCTCACTCACAAATATATCCCAAATTTCTTAATTTCTAATTTAAATTATGTTCATGCAGCATCTGTAATTGTTTTTGTCTCAGCTGTTAATTTCAAATACCCCCACTCATTCTCTCACACACTCACTCACACATTCACATGAACACACACACACACCTGCCTTCCTAAGACTGAACACATGCTCTCTCATTCTCACACTGACCTCTATCTCTTATTTGTTTCAGTTTTTTTGAGATGAGTTTTTTTTTTTCATTCGCATACATATAGTACACACACTTGTTTTTACACTTGAGCTACGAGTTACTGACATGTTGAAATGTTACCTAAATTGCTGCTGTTGTTTTTTTTTTTAAATAGGGTAGTCCTGCTATTCCTCGAGACGGATGCTGAGTATGGATCAAGTCATCGTGAACAAGAACATCTCTTCTTTCATCTCGGCCTTGTGCATGATGTTTGGCAGCTATTACTGCTTTAACATTCATTACCCATCCACGCTTGCATCGACCCTGGAATTTCTACAGAGGTATGTTATTTTATTTTGTACAATTGTTTTGTTCTATTTATTTCTATTGTTCTATTTAGCAACATGGGGTTAAGTGCCTTGCTAGGGGCTAGCTTCAACCCCTGACTTCTGTGGCTACTGGCATGATAACCAAGTTTCTTTACCCCATCGCCACCACCATCTTAGTCAAGATAACTGCTCTGTAGCATTGCTAACTGAAATACAATGTATCAAATAACATGTATCAAATAATGTTGACACCTTGTTAAACTAATTGCCTGAGTATTTTTTAGCAAAAACGATTTCATTTCATGGGCAAAATGACATGTTCTGCTCAAAGGACAACTTCGGTCCATTTCAACAAGAGCTCTATTGCTCAAGCTACTCGAGACTTGCCAGTACTGAAGACGCGAAAAAGTTTGGTCCAACTTGTATAGGTTTATTTGAACAGAGAATTAGCTCTGATAGCTAACCCATGGGGGCAGAACTTTACACTGTGTTTTATCATATCATTTGTTTAAATTTTGTATATGGCTGCTTGCACAAACACACTGTTTTAACCACTTTTTAAGCATTTCTAGTCATACACATTACAGTGTCGTGTTGTATTGTGTCGGCTGGTGTTGCATAGCTTTGGCGTTGACATTTGGAGCGTTAAATTCACAATTTAAAGTTATGTCCCCATGGGTTAGCTGTCAGTGCTAATTCTCTGTTCAAGGAAACCTATAGGATTTAGACCAAAATTTCTCACGTCTTCAGCCCTGGCAAGTCTCAAGTAGCTTGAGCAATAGAGCTCTTGTTGAAATTGACCGAAGTTGTCCTTTAACTGATGAATCTATACATTATACCAAAGGTGTCTGGCATCAAGAGGGAAAAAAAAGACATTGATATGTCAATAGGCAGAGTGTAGTGTCTAATGTCTATAGGCCTTAAGGTGCACCCTCCCATAATTCAAAGGAACCAACTTTCTTTTAAAAGTCTGATCATACTGAGCATGAATCAGAATGTTAACACTGAACATTTTGGGTTGCACTACATGTTTCAGGTAGTCAATGTATTTCCATATATTGAAAATGCAATGGAAACGCATTACAGGAACATGACTCTCCATGAGCTAGGGGAAGGTGCAATGCAATTTGCAATGTTTGGAAAATACACTGACTACCTGAAACATGTAGTGCAAAATGTTCAATGTAAACATTCTGATTCATGTTAAGCATGATGAGACCTTTAAAAAAATAAAAAAATAAAAAAAGTTGGATTATGTGGGGGGTTCACGGTTGGCCGCTTAGCTCCCCGCCTACCAGTTAAACTTTAAGTAATGGAAAACTGCAACCCATATTCTCACCTTTTTTGTCTTTTCCTTTGTACTGATTTGACTGGTTGAGATGGTTGTATCATTTATAGTGGTATATGTGTTTCTTCTCTCTTCTGTTAACCTAGATGTTTCTTCTCTATTAATCCGGAGAAGGGGACGAAAGTGGAACAAACAAAAACAAAACGGCTCCATGTGAATCCAAGAGTCCTTACTTTGATTCAGGACCTCTCAGACCATGAATGGCGAGCTATTTAAAAAGGTATGTGTGCTAGTGCTAATGCTACTGCTGTCCTTGATTATTGACTGACTTTACTAATGAAACTAATGGAGGTTATGTATTTCTTTCTCTTCTCTCTTCCATTAGATGTTCCTTCAAGTGACCGCAATAGTGAACACCCATATGTTTCTCTAGATGTTCTTCTAGAAGCAATGCAGTTGCATGTTAATCTAAGCTTCTGTAACTTGGTTCATGACCTTTTCAACCATGAATGGCGAGCTGTTTGAAAAGGTACAGTACAGGCCAAAAGTTTGGACACACCTTCTCAATCAATGTTTCCTTTATTACCATGTCTATTTCCATTGTAGATTCTCGTTGAAGGCATCAAAACTATGAATGAACACGTGGGAATTATGTTCAATGCATCCAGAGAGTATTCACACCCCTCTCAATGTTTCAGCATTTGTTGCATTGCAGTCATGTCCTTCAGTCAAATAAGTTCATTTTTTTCTCCCTGATCTAGAATCCGTGCCCCATAATGACAGCAAAATACAGAATTGTTGAAGTTTTGGCAAATCATTAAAAAAACTGAAATATCCACATGGGCATAAGTATTCACACCCTATGTTATAACACTCTTGCTGTCATTATGGATCACTGAGTCTAGATCAAGGAGAAAAAAATTAACTTATTTGACTGAAGGAGATGACTGCAATACAACAAATTGTGAAACATTGAGGAGTGTGAATACTTTCAGGATGTACTGTACATAATTCCCACGTGTTCAGTGTACGTGTGCTAATGCTACTGTTGTCCTTGATTATTGACTGACTTTACTAATGAAACTAATGGAGATTATGTATTTCTTTCTCTTCTCAATTCCATTAGTTGTTCAAGTGACCGCGACAGTGAACACCCATATGTTTCTCTAGATGTTCTTCCAGAAGCAATGCAGTTGCATGTTAATCAAGCCTTTACCATGATTCACAAGCTCTCCATGAATGGCGAGCTGTTTAAAAAGGTGTGTGTGCTAGTGCTACTGTTATCTTTGATTATTGTTGACTTTGCTAATTAAACTAATGGAGATTATTGTGTTTGTTTCTCTTCTCTATTCCCCTAGGTGTTACTTCAAAGTGATGGAGCCGATGAACACCTATATCACCTTTTTTCGTGGCTCTATATTAACAAGGTTCACATTTATTCACTCACAATCCCTCTCTCTCACAAACAGAAGTGCGACCACACACACACAAACACACTTTAATGATCTCGTTCTCATTATTTTTTCAACAATAAATTTGCGTTATTGTGAATTGTATATTGTCTGATGAGTGGTTTGTTACAGCTTGACTTTTCATTTAGAAGTAATTTGAAGCAATGTAGATAGTAAGACTGTATATATATATATATATATATATATATATATATATATATATATACTTACTGTTGTTTTTCCAGAATGATTTTGTTAAAAATACAGTACAAATGTAAACATCTTTAAAAAGAAATGTTTTTACGGAAAAAAACTGGCAGCTGTGGTTGCCAGAATAACCCCGTTAAAAATACAGTACAAATGTAAACAACATTACGAAACAACTTGTAAATTTCACGTCCTAAAACTGCTTATTGTACACTGAATAACTGCAAAATGTACATTTAGTCATTATTTATTGTACATTAAATCCCAGTAAAATGTACAAGTTGTTCCGTAATGTTGTTAACAGTTTTGTTGTATTTTCTACGGGATTATTCTGGCAACCACAGCTGCCAGTTTTTTTCCGTAAAAACAGCAGATTTTTTTTTACAGTGTGGTCTTTATGACGCTGCCTGTTCTTCCTGGAGACCAAGAAATAATGGAGCTGGATTTCATTCAGGACTCTCAGAATAAAGGGGCTCAAAGGCAGGGGGGGGGGGATTTACCATCAGGCAATACTAGGCAGCTGACTGGGGCCCCACATTCCTGGGGGCCCCATAAAACTCAAGACAACTATACATTAAGTTTTTGATAAAAAGAAAAATCCTTTGGCTAAAATGCCATCAGAACGCTGCTAATATGAAGTGTGTCCGGTTTATACTTACCTCTTCATTCTCCTTCTTCCATTAAACACTGACTGCATCACTGCTGCAGATTAATAAGGCCGTAATTGGGGTTTATAACGTGATGATAAAATGTTTAAACTCTTTGGAGACGTTAGGAGGTTTAATCTAAATTATTTTGCTCTTTCTGGAGAAAAACAGACATTTTATGTTGTGAGTTTAAACAGATGATCAAAGCATGAAGGCCAATAAAATAAATAAAAAACTAATTTTCTTCATGTCTTCAGACATTTTCTGTGATCCTCAGTGATGCTGCTCTGATCTGCGCGTTAAGATGGAGGCTGGGGGGGGGGGGGGTTATGTAACATCATGGATCATTCAGACCAGCAGAACAGAACACCGCCATTTTGGACCGGACCCGCTATGTTCGCAATCAGAACCTTCATTATTTTATTTTTTATTGTTTCTGTTTTCATGAATTTGATTCTGAAATCGAATAAATTGAGAGAATTAATTGAAAAGAATCAATAATAACGGAATTTAATCATCGCTCTTCTCAATTACTGTCGAATAAACCCAGTTTTGGCGGCTCTGATTGATTTTTATCTCTTAAATATGTGTTAAAGCAGAATTGTGAAGGTTTAATTGAATCATTTTGTCAGGCATTAGTAGTGCTAAGTACCGGAGCAGCAGCTCCAGAAAGGACACCGTGTTTCACCGTGAAGCAGGTGTCTGCTTCCAACACGGCGGCTCGGACTCACCGCCGCTCCGTCCTTCATGATGATCTTCTTGACCAGAACCACCCGGCCGGGGGCCGCCGGAGGCTCCGCCGCCATCTCCTCACACCTGCCGGGGGTCATGAAGCATCCTTGCCGCGTGGATATCCGCGGTTCTCCGGGTGCTTCCAGGATTTCTTAGTGTTTGCCCCGAAGAGGCCGAAGCGATAAATGAGAAAGTAAACCTGGAGGATTTCTGCTTGTTTTTCCTTCTCTGTCTCACAGAAAGACGTCCAGCTCAGTCACACAGTCCGCAGCACTGATGCGCTTATTGACGCTGTCAAGTTACACTCAACCTTTCCGACACTTCCGGTCACCTTACAAAATAAGAGCCGGGGATTTATGCTAATACTGGCAAAGGATCCAGTACAGATCTGTCAAAAGTACTCACATTCTTTACTGTAGTAAAAGTAGCGATAGCTGGTTTTACTACAGTAAAGTACTACAGATACATGGATGGATGGATCATGGATGGGTGATGGATGGATGAAGGATGAATGAGGGATGATGGATGGATCATAGATGGATGGATGGATGAGGGATGGCTGGATGGATAAATGAGGGATGATGGATGGATGGATGGATGGATGGATGGATGGATGGATGGATGGATGGATGGATGGATGGATCATGGATGGATGGATAGATGGATCATGGATGAATGAGGGATGATGGATGGATGGGTGAGGGATGGATGGATCATGGATGGGTGAGGGATGGATGGATCATGGATGGGTGAGGGATGGATGGATCATGGATGGATCAAGGATGAATGAGGGATGATGGATGATGATGGATGGATGGATGGATGGATGGATGGATGAGGGATGGCTGGATGAATAAATGAGGGATGATGGATGGGTGGATGGATCATGGATGGATGAAGGATGAATGAGGGATGATGGATGATGATGGGTGGATGAAGGATGAATGAGGGATGGGCGATGGATCATGGGTGGATGGATGGATAGATGGATGGATGGATGGATGAAGGATGAATGATGGATAATGGATGGATCGATGGATGGATGGATGGATGGATGGATCATGGATGGATGGATCATGGGTGGATGGATGGATGAATGATGGATAATGGATGGATAATGGATGGATGGATCATGGATGGATGGATAATGGATGGATGGATGGATCATGGATGGATGTATGATGGATGGATGAAGGATGAATGGGTGATGGATGGATGGATGGATGAAGGATGAATGACGGATAATGGATGGATGGATGGATGGATGGATGAAGGATGAATGACGGATAATGGATGGATGGATGGATGGATGGATGGATGGATGAAGGATGAATGATGGATAATGGATGGATAATGGATGGATCATGGATGGATGAAGGATGAATGGGTGATGGATGGATGGATGGATGAAGGATGAATGACGGATAATGGATGGATGGATGGATGGATGAAGGATGAATGATGGATGGATGGATGGATGGATGGAACATTTCAGCTTTTTTTCTGCCTGTCTACATATTGAAAATCTTTTATTTTGAAATTGTATCCTATGCTTTCCAGCTGATCCAAACCTGACCAGCCGGTTCGGTCCGGTTTTGGCCCGGTTCTGTTTCATTTCTTTACTGTTTGGGTCCAGCATCAGTTTAACATGAAGTCTGTATCAGAAGGAGTCATTTTTCTCCCTAAATGTTTATCTAAATATCAGTCTGCAGCGCGTTTTATCAACACGTGATGTAACTATTTGTCACACGAGACCGGAAATGGAAAGCTCACGCCTTCATAATAAAACTTCATTATATGAAAAAAACGGCTGATAAAATGTTTGTTTTCATATATTTCCATATTATTCCTCGTTCAAACGTTAAATGCTATAAATCAGCGCGTCTACTCGCGGTTTTTTCACCTCTGCTTAGAAATATTCTTTATCTGTTTCTTACTTTGAAAATCCTGCTGCGTCCCGATTGGTTTGACAGCGCAGGATGGAGATAAATAGATGAGCGGCTCACGTGTGGGTGGCTGTGGTTCTGCTGCTGTGTGTTTGAGTGCAGAGAAGATGGTCCAGAGGTGGCGGCGGAAGAACACGTGAGCTGTCTGCTGACGTCATCCATCAGCAGAGGATGAAAGAAGCTGCTTCCTCTGATTCCTCATCATCTGCTTCACAGTCAGATAACTAATATCATGGTGTCTCTTTTAGCTGAAAGGTCAAATGAGCTGCGGCCAACATCCTCTTCACAACAACAGGAGGAAAAACAAAAAATCTCCATATTTAAAAGATGGAACAGAAATTAAACATTTTAACTCTTTAGATTCAGGACCAAAGCGCCTTTAAGAGCCACATTCAGCAGCAATAATAAGGATAATATAGAACAAAATAGAATCAAATAGAAATATCCTTTATTGTTCCACAGTGGGAGGACATAAATAAAAACAAGAAAATAAGAATATGAGACTGTGTATAAGGACACATTTAATATCTAAAAAATTAAATTGAATAAAGAAAAAAATCAGTATACTTATTAACAGTGGTCATTACAAATTTAAGAATACTTTATTACTCCAAAAGGTAAATTAAATGTTGCAGTATCTCATACGTTATATTTTTAAACAGGTGTTGATGCTGTAGGCAGGAAGGATCTCCTGTAGAGGTCTGTCCTGCACCAGATCTGGAAAAGCCTCTGACTGAAGATTATTTGTTGTTTAAAAATCTTCTGTAGAGGAGGCTCACTGTTGTCCATAATTTTACAATAGAATAATAGAACAGAAAATCCCTTTATTGTCCCAATAAATGGGGAAATCCTGGTGATTAAAGCAACAAAACAATTACAGAAAAAATGGTACCACAAATGTGGACCTTAGAAAAATGTATCGGAATAACAATAGCGAAGAGTTAAAAGATAAACAATGAAATCCTGCACTGTAAAGTGTTTTAGCAATATAAACCTGGAGAATAAATAACCAATATGCAGCTATGGGCATTTTTATAATAATTTGAAAATAGCAGCAACATCAGAGATGTGCAGCAGGGTCAGAGAAGGTCTGTAGGAGCGCCCCCTGCTGTCCAGAAGACCTAAAAAAAGGGCTGCTTTCTTCACTTTATGAAAAATGTCATACATACAGATAAATTAAAAAATTAACTACAATACTTCGTAACTGTAATTATGTTTACATCCAATCACTGATAGTCAGTAGCTACTGCTTTTTGTTTTAAGCTTAAAGGGAGATTTGGAATTACTTACTGAAAATAATCAGGCTATTTTATGTAAAGCTTGGATATAAAAGCCATCTAGATCTGTGGATATAGAAGCTGAGGCGGCTACATTTCTATATTTTATCCCCTTTGAGCCTCTTTCTGTCGAGTGAGTTTGCTGTTTCGCTCTACCTCATGTGAACCAGGTGACGTTATTCATATGGAGGGGGAGGGGGTGGCATGTCTGCTCCTCTGCAATGTAGAAAAATCGTCTCTAAATGATCTGTTTCTATAATAAGCTGAGATGAAGCACGAGAGCTTTGGAAAATAAGAGCCCAGGTGTGATGGTAGTGACACAGCTGTCCCTTGTCCTCCTGCATGGCGTCTCGTTGCTTGGACGCGGTTGCCAGGCAACGGTGTGCCTGTAGACAGGGCAGGTGTAGGTTTACCTGTAAGCTGAGCTGCTGGTCTGTGAGAGAGTTACTGATCAGTGGATTCAGGAAGAACCAGCAGAGAAGAGACGCTGCTTCCAGGGAACCTCAGCAGGTGAGTTTTCATCTGATGAAGCTGCAACCTCTGAAACTGTCTATCTCTGAGATAAACGCGATTATTGGACCTTGTTTAGGTTTTTGTGCCACCTAGTGGACAAAGAGTATCAATGCTTCGTTAAAGATGCAGAAGAAAGTGTCCTTTGACATGAATGTTGGGTTTCTATTGCATCAGGACGTCCTTAAAAATATATTTTAAGTTGTTTTTCATAATTAAAAATTAAATTCCAGAAAATAAACATATTAAGATGGATTTATTCATCTTAATAATAAATAATCTTAATTTATTTATTCATTCTGCAGTCAACAATGATCAGATCATTCAGACTATAAACTCTCTGCAGCGCTGCTGTTTACTGTCTCATAGTGTCACTACAACAGGGCTGTCACTAGGTTTGAGAGACATGGGTGGCTTAGCCCCTAGGTAAGATATTGCGCGCGCAGCGCGCGCCGAAATGTTTTCAGTGCACTTTCTAAGGCGCTGTCTATAAATTCATTATTTTAAGAGCAACATACCTGGGAAACACTTCCCTCACTAATGCTACTTCACCAACTAAACTACACCAGTTAAAATGTGCTAAATTACAAAGAGTAAATGGTAGGTGCCATGCATTACTGCATAAATGGAAGAAGGCAAGTGGTTCGCCACTCATCATAATGGAAACCTTCTACAGAAGACAGTTGTCTAACCAACAGACTCCCAACATCTTCATAAACCCTTAACCTGGCCATTCATCTTTCCCCATCTCCCCTGCACCCACAACCTGTCAGGAACCCCTGTCTGCTTTGCAATAACCCTGTTTCTGTGTGTGTGCTTGGTGTGTGTGTGTGTGACCTGGACTTTGGCATGTCTTTCTCTACACCTGGCACAGAGAGAAACACATATATGTGAGGAACTTAACAATAAATGCAGCATTATCTTTGATCGATTTCTGCTTAATCTAAAGTTTAACCACAAAATACAAGTTGCATAAATGGACAGTAGGCAATAGGCAATAGCATCATTGCAAAGAAGGATATCCTTGAGACTTTTTCACATCAGTCTGACAAAGTTTTAATGCAAATAAAGGAAGTATTTTTAAGTACAATGTATTAATGAAAACACAAAATCAACAGTATATGAAACGTACAACTTAGAACTATAGTCAACCCAAGGAAGCACTACCATATCACACAGTGTCGCCCTATCAGACTGGTGGCACATAGATATGGGAGAATTATCCTGCCATAATGCAAGAGCACATAACTTCAATTAGAGAAAAGAATTTCATCTTCTTGCACTCAAAACTTATAATGCTCACACTCAAAACATGCGCTCTCTCTCAAATATTTTCTCTTCTCTCAAAAATCTTTGTTTCTTCTCTCAGATTTAAACAGATATTTTCTATATTATCACAGATATTTTTTCCTCTCGCTTGCCTCCATCTCCGCTCTGCACGGGTCTCAGTTACGCTCTGCTTGCGGATTTGTTTTGCTCTCTCAGACTGCAGTTGGATCGTTGCCTAGCAACCTTTCCAGCCAATAGAACGACAGCCTCGGAAAAGGTGCGCTTGTTTAACCCTACGGAGTGTGCCTGTGCTACTACGCCACTTATAAAGCGTCAGCTGAAACTGCTATTTACAGTAGTTTTGTGGCTGATTGTTGTTTAGAAATAGAAAACCTGGTTTCATTTCTTAGTTTTGCCCTGGATTTTGTAGCGTTTGTGGACGCTACGTCGCTACTTGATCAAAACAATAACGTCGCTACAGGAAAGTTACTTGATAAATAAAGCAGCGACGCTACGGTCAAGCTACTTGAAAATGTAGTTAAACTAATAGCTTCGCTACATGTAGCGGCGCTACTGCCCATCACTGCTCCTGTGACAAAACTATTATAATGATGCTAGTAGGCTACAACAACATCGTGTTTTCCCACACCACTGACTTTGTTCACCATGGTAACGTAATTCCTACTGAATCAGACAAGCTATTAGGCCTATATTGTCTCTTTCCTCACTCCAGGTAAAGTGAAGAAAATGTAAACCGCTGACATCAAATGGCAAACTCACCGTATGTATCTGCACGCAACCATAACTTTCCTAATCAAGCTCGATGACTGTGTGGAGATTCAAAGGGCGCGCTGTTGCTGCACTGCACAGCTGCTATGGTCCAGTTGATGGCCGTGTACCACGTGACGTGACGCTGGACGCGGAGCCAATGAAGGAAATGAATATCCTAACGATATTAATAATTGTATAAATAATTGTGTTTGTAAATAAACTAACAGGAACTTATCTTCAGATTAACTTGCCTTCTTGGTGGCTCGTTTTCAGTGCTTTACTGCAATTGCAATCAATAAATAAAAAAAAACAATAAAAATCGCAAAATAATTATGGGGTGGCTAATACCAACGAAGGGATGACTTCAGCCACCCTAAAATAGGTCTAGCCACGTCCCTGCACTACAAGTAATCAAATACATTTGCGTGGAGTTTATTTGCAGTTCTTTAACAGTAGAGTTGTTGCAGAGAAACTGCAGATCATGGTGGCTGCAGGAGGGGGGCGGGGCACCGCACAATCACTGACACTCTGGAGGATGAAATACAGATAGGTGACCACGATGATCTGATCCAAGTGAGTCACTTACCTGGTTTGAAAGTTCAGTCCATCCTCTCTGAGGAAGGCAGGATCCAGCTGATGGACTGCTGAACGGGATCCAGCGCAGAGCCGTCCCGACTGGCGCTGATGCTTGATCCACAGACAGCTGACAGGAGACCGATCCAGGTCAGAACCTGGTCCGTGGCCCAACAGGGGTTCCGATCCACACAGGAAACCAACAGAAACGGGGTTCCAGAGAGTCCAGCAACGTGTTCACACAAACACGCTGAGGTGCAGACAGGCAGGCTCAGTGGTTGAGGGACAGAGACAATCATGGTACCAGGATTTCTGCAAGACTTTAAACTAGTCTCCTCCAAGGAGCCAGGTTTATGGGAATAAAAGTGATCCTCCCCGCATCCTCAGCCAAAACCCTGAGGGCTCCGCGGAGCAGGACCAGTGCACAATCAGAAGACAAGACAAGCACTCTCAATCCACTGGCCGCCAGGAACCAGGACAGAACCATGGAATAAACTAAACAGAAAAACTAACCAGCATAAACACACAGACAGACAATGATGTAGCCCTGATAGCTGGACTGAGCCGAATATAAAGGTGGATGAGATCAGAGATGATTAGCGACCGGGCAGATTAAAGCAGGTGAATGACATGTACAATTAAGGCCAGCTATCAGGGCAGATCATGACACAATGTCCCCTAAAGAGACAGAACAACAAAGAAATAAAAAAGGTTTTGAATAAGTTGGTTCAATAAACTATACATAAACAGACATAATTAATCTAAATAAACCATAAAATATTAAGCCAACCTTTGTTCTCCAAAGGTTGGCTCAGGAGGTCACAGTGGTCCCTCCCTGTCCATTTGTCCATTTGTCCATTTGTCACACTGACCCCAAACCAATTTTATTATTATTTTTCTATCCTGTATAAATAATCATTTTTCATCATTAAAGATACTTTAATTTTAAAATGCACAATTTTATCAAGAAATTGTTTTTCTGTCGCTATATTTATATAGAACTAATTCTACACACCAAAAAGCTTCCTTCACCCTCACCCTGCTAACTGGACCCTGATGTGTCTGAGTCTCTGCTTTCAGGGGTTTATGACCCTGAGGTCTTGGTCCTGGTTCTGGTTTGTTCTTTACTGTTTTGCGTCGTTCATTACGTTTCATTTCTTTACTTTACTCCTTTCCATTCCCTGTTCAGCGATCATCAGCAGCAGGCTCACACTTTCCTTCTTTGTTTCTATGGAAACAGGAACATAATGGTACCACATCTGTGGCGTAGCTCTCTGTGTATCTGTTAAATGAATGTTTGACAGGAACAAGAGCAAAAGGGAAACGCGAGGTGAAGATGGCTTTAGCAAGCGGTCACTGGCTGGTGAAAGAAGTCAGGGGGGAACCTCCAAGTCCAAGGTGAGATGACGTGTCAGACACAGTTACAACCGCAGTTACAGGCACAGCTACAGGTACAGTTACAACCGCAGTTACAGGCACAGCTACAGGTACAGTTACAACCGCAGTTACAGGCACAGCTACAGGCACAGTTAAAGGCACAGCTACAGCCACAGCTACAGGTACAGTTACAACCGCAGTTACAGGTACAGTTACAACCGCAGTTACAGGCACAGCTACAGGCACAGTTAAAGGCACAGCTACAGCCACAGCTACAGGTACAGTTACAACCGCAGCTACAGGTACAGTTACAACCGCAGTTACAGGCACAGCTACAGGCACAGTTAAAGGCACAGCTACAGCCACAGCTACAGGTACAGTTACAACCGCAGTTACAGGTACAGTTACAACCGCAGTTACAGGCACAGCTACAGGTACAGTTACAACCACAGTTACAGGCACAGCTACAGGCACAGCTACAGGCACAGTTACAACCGCAGTTACAGGCACAGCTACAGGTACAGTTGCAACCGCAGTTACAGGCACAGCTACAGGCACAGTTAAAGGCACAGCTACAGCCACAGCTACAGGTACAGTTACAACCGCAGTTACAGGTACAACCGCAGTTACAGGCACAGCTACAGGTACAGTTACAACCGCAGTTACAGGCACAGCTACAGGTACAGTTACAACCACAGTTACAGGCACAGCTACAGGCACAGCTACAGGCACAGTTACAACCGCAGTTACAGGCACAGCTACAGGTACAGTTACAACCGCAGTTACAGCTGCAGTTACAGGCACAGCTACAGGCACAGTTAAAGGCACAGCTACAGCCGCAACTACAGGCACAGCTACGGGCACAGCTACGGCCGCAGCTACAGGCACAGCTACAGCTACAGACACAGCTACAGGTACAGCTACAGGCACAGCCGCAGCTACAGCCACAGCTACAGGTACAGTTACAACCGCAGTTACAGGTACAGTTACAACCGCAGTTACAGGCACAGCTACAGGTACAGTTACAACCGCAGTTACAGGCACAGCTACAGGTACAGTTACAACCACAGTTACAGGCACAGCTACAGGCACAGTTACAACCGCAGTTACAGGCACAGCTACAGGTACAGTTACAACCGCAGTTACAGCTGCAGTTACAGGCACAGCTACAGGCACAGTTAAAGGCACAGCTACAGCCGCAACTACAGGCAAAGCTACGGGCACAGCTACGGCCGCAGCTACAGGCACAGCTACAAGCAAAGCTACAGGCACAGCTACAGCTACAGACACAGCTACAGGTATAGCTACAGGCACAGCCGCAGCTACAGGCACAGCTACAGGTACAGCTACAGGGACAGCTACAGGCACAGCTACAGGCACAGCTACAAGCAAAGCTACAGGCACAGCTACAGGCAAAACTACAGGTACAGTTACACGCGCAGCTACAGCTACTGGCAAAGCTATTGGTACAGCTACATCCGCAGCTACAGGCACAGTTAAAGCAGCAGCTACAGGCCCAACTACAGCCGCGGCTAAAGGAGCAGCTACAGCATACTGAGCTGTGTGGTACATTATAAAACTGGCTGCATTTGTCTTTGAACTTTGCAGACATGGTCACGCTTTGGCTGTGGCTGGAAGCGTCGCCTTCCTGTTTGGCGGATCATGCAGCATCAGCCCAGAGGTGGTGATCATTATCTGAAGCATGAATCACCTTTATTCATATCAATAATGAATCGTTTTAATACTTTTTCTAACTGGTAACATACATTAAATCCTAAACTTTTTCTTTTTGTTTAGGTCAGCCCTGTTTACTTCTCTGACTTCCACATGCTGACAGGTATGGATGACCATAAACATACGGCCTTCAGAGGGTTTCATTCTTTAGCTTTAGGTTTAAAAGAGACTGTTCAATAAATTATTTCCTCCATTAAAAACACTTTTGTTGATCTTCTGAGATCCAAGTTTTTGTACATGGGATTAGTAACAGATAAAAACCAGTTTACTTAAAAAGATATATAATTATGAATTTCAGGCAACTAGCAGAGCTTTCCAAAGACATAGGTGGCAGGAAACCTTAATGAAAAGGTGGTCGGCGCTCCTAGAGCATACCTGCTGGTCTTTTAAAGTAGTACAGATGTGGAACTCTTGCCCTAGATGGGGCTTTTTTAAACATTTCCTTGCAGGGGTGTCAAACATTCTTTGCTGAAGTAAAGGATGCAGGTAAAAGTACTAATTAAGCAATTAAAGTTAGAAAATCCCCAAAAGATGGTCAACATATAAATATAAAATGTAATAAAGTGGAACCTAATGGGAAATGTCTTGATCTAATCCATCATTTTCCTTCATATCTCCAACAGGGTTTTTCTATAAACTAACTGGTCTCCAACTGGAATGATTCTCTTTATTTTCCTAGGATTGTTAGTCCTGATACATCATATTGTTAATAATATGTATAAAAGTAATGAGCCAGTTTGGAGAAAGTAGGAATAGAAAGTATAGATAATTGTGTTAAAATGTAGGGAGCAACCGTAAAAATCTCTAACAGAATAAAATTCTAAGCTAAATAACAGAAACCACAAAGAGCTTCTTAAATAATAAAGTACCTAGTTACTTTACACCAGTTGACTTAATCTGTCAATCTGCTCTATCCAGAACTCCTCAAGTGGGAAAGTTTTGGTTTTACCTGGTTTAACTTCATTAAAAGTCGTCTCTAAGGAACCTTTTGGCTATCCGCTTATTTTTCAAAAAATAATTGACAAATGATCAATTTGCAGTTGTTAGCTGCAGCCCTAATTGACTCCCCTGAATGTTTATTTTTAATGTTCTCAAATGAGAACTTAAGCTTTTCTGACATTGCATTAAGTAACAGTTATAAATAAATTGTCATCATAAACTTTATGAAAATAAAAATGTATAAAAATACGTTTGTTTCAACCTGGAAATGTTTTTATTGTCTTCGCCATTGTGTTTTTCTCAAAATGGTGTAAGGTTGTCATGGAACCACTAGATGTTGCTAGTAGTGTCTGAATCCAATGTCCTGAGAGGAAGACGTTGGATTTCAATTCAGTTCACTTCAACTCAGTTTATTTACATAGCGCCAAATTCACAACACATGTCATCTCAAGGCACTTTACAGTTTAACCAGATCATACAGTCAAATTGATTGAAAGTTTTCTGACTCATTGACTCAAATACAATCACTCACACTAAGCATGCTTGTAGCGACAGTGGAGAGGAAAAACTCCCTTTTAACATGATTTCTGGAGGTTGAAACATTTTTCATATTGTGTCTTTCTTTATTTAATAAATGGTAAAAAGCTTTACTTACAGTGCAGAAGTCAGGGGAACTCAAACCCCTTTACAGTGCATTCAGTCATTCACTCACACTGATGGTGGTGAGCTACAGTGTAGCCACAGCTGCCCTGGGGCTCATTGACAGGAACAAGGCTATAGTTTACAGCTGCCGCCGGGGGGCCCTCTGACTACCATCGATGGGCAATGAGGAGGAAGTGTCGCGCTCAAGGACACAATGAAACTGAAAGCTAGAGCTGTGGTTTGAACCGGCAACCCTTCAGTTGTAGACTGAACATTCCTCCCCTAAATGCTAACAAAACCAAAACAGATTCTTCAATCGTGTCGATGGTATTTTAGGTTTTGTCTTTTATCAGTGAGGTGCCATGTGTCTGACGCAAAAGTGGTCTGGAAATCAGCTGTGCTGCTTCCATCAACACCCTTGTTTATAGATGCTGGAGATCGGCCTGTTTTCCAGTGTGGTCCTGTTTCTCTGACCGTGACTGAGTGGATGTGCTCTCTTCGTCCTCTGGCATGGGAGCTGCCTTGGAGCTCGCCTGCCTGGCTGTGTGTTTCCTGGACTGGGCCGCCTTTTACAGCTGCTTTTTGTGTCTATGCTTCTTTTTCTATGTCTGCTTCTGTCTCCTTGAACCCCAGTCGGCCTCAGCAGATGGCCGCTCACCCTGAGCCTGGTTCTGCTGGAGGTTTCTTCCTGTTAAAAAGGAGTTTTTCCTCTCCACTGTCGCTACAAGCATGCTTAGTGTGAGGGATTGTATTTGAGTCAATGAGTCGATGCAATGAACTGGTTTTCCTTAGATAGAAAACTTTGTATCAATTTGACTGGATGATCTGGTTGAACTATAAAGTGCCTTGAGATGACATGTTGTGAATTTGGCGCAATATAAATGAACTGAATTGAATTGAATTGAAATGATTCCCGGTTTGTTGGTTACAGTTACTCCTGACGAGGTTAGCTGGGAGGAGATCCCTCAGAGTGGAGAAGTTCCAGCTGCCAGAGAAGGACACACACTCTGGTAAATCCCACCCTGACATGTCCACCAGCAGGGGGCACCCACAGCAGCGACAGGTTCATTGAAGAAGAGACCCCCCCACCAAACTCCAGACATTATTTAGACGTTGGCTTTTAGGCTAAATCTGGTCCATCCATCACAGTCTTGATTTAGTCCAAGAAATAGTTTTTGAAAATTGGGCTTTGTTTGGTTGGTCTGATATTGTCCCCATTTAGTCCAATAAAAGATGTTGAAAACTGGGATTTCAACGTCTTTTCAACCAAATGTAGACGTCTATTGGACGTGAATCATGTCGTCTTTTTAACTGCTCAGTGGAAGGAGGCAGTCAAAAAGTGCTCATGTTTAATTAAATAACAAAGAAACACACCCACATAAACTAATCTTCACACTCATTTGAAATTATCTATACATGCAGATTGAGTACCAAGCAGTCCCAGTAATCACACATTAGTCCATGCTCATCTCTGTGCTTCCTGGTTTGCTTTTTATGATTATTCGTATCAGTATTTTAACGCATGGGCACTTTTGACTTGAATTTTGCCTTCATATCCATCTAGATGCGTCGTGGAGTACGGAGTAAATATGTTACTTTAGACAGGTGGGAAATGGGGCCATCACAATGAGTTAGCATGGGAGGATGGGTGGTGGAGATGAGGATGAAGAGGGTTGATGGAGGATGAGGGAGGTAGAGAAGAAGGATGAAGGAGATTAGGTTGCTGGATAAGGAAAGATGAGGGACATCAAGCATAAAGAGGTAAATGATATAAGGTGAAGGTCCAAAGAATCAGAGAAAAGTTCTGATCATTTGATGCGGACTAACATAGCGATGTGATATGAACTGGAGTCCAGACAGGAACTCTGATTTCATTTGGAAACTCAGTCTGTGGTGCTCTGGGCAGAGGTGCCCGATTCCTCCTCTTTGTTCCTCAAAGTTTTTCAGTTAAAAAACAAAGTTTTATGTAGAAATAGAGGACTGGAGCTGGGTAGAAAAGAGAACTTCAAAAAGCTTTCAGAAACCCTTGAGAACTGCTGCAACTCTGTTTAATCCAATGAGACTTCCATGAAGGTCTTCCTCCCGCTGCCCAGCCTCGTCAAAGGGAAGCTGTTCCTGTTTGGAGGAGCCTCCCGTCCTGAAGCCTCTGAATGTCTCCCAGGTGTCTACAGCTTTGACGTCGGTGAGGACGCCAAGCATCATGGTCAGAAGATCGCCACCTTCAGGCCTCACACAACTGTGATGGAGGTGTTCCTTGTTTCCAACAGTGTCTCTGACCTGGGAATGCCTCTCAACCAGCGGCGTGGCTCCCAGAGGTCTCCGCCACAGCTCTGCCGCTGCTGGAGACAACATCTACGTCTACGGAGGCGTACTGAAGGGGGACCCTACTGATGACCTACTGGTCTTCAACACAGGTCCAAAACCTATACTTCTGTCCCCAGGAAGAGAATAAAAGACGTTGTTTTCGTTGGTGATGAATTCAGACTTCATTTCAGTGTCTCTGACCTGGACACCGGTAAAAACCAGAGGATCTCCTCCTCCTGCTCTGTGAGAAACAAGATGTGCCAAACCTTAATGAAATAATATAAAAGTCTGAATTTTGGATAACAGACCTTTTTTCTGCAGATGGGGCCAGAGCTTTGCTCAGGCTGGAGATCAGGTCTTCATGTTCGGAGGTTATGGAGCAGGAGGGGAATTCTGTAAGAACCTTTATGTTCTTAATACAGGTAAACTTACAAAACATGTATGTGCTTAAAGGGCAAGAATATTTCTTTAATTCTGAACCTTCTGGTCAAGTTAGATGTGTGGCTCTTGCTGTCTGTACCCAGGGTCGGACTGGGAACGATTTTCGGACCCTGGCATTTTTCCATCTACACCGGCCCACTTATGGACAACCCCCCCAAAAAAACCCCCAAAAAAACGGGTGCGCGTCTTAAATGTGAAACGTCATACGAATAGACATTGTGGATAAACCGATCTTTCTTCAAGCATCAGCATCAATCTCTGCAGTCAGAGATTACCCACCTAACACTTGCTCCCTGAGGAATTCTGAAGATCTTTAATGTTATTCTGCATGTTTAAGACAATATTGTCCAAATGTCCACAAGTCTTTGTCTGAGGAACAAAATCAAAAATTTTTGCTAAAGACTGAAATCTTTCATTCAAGTTTGGTCCTCAAGGACTCCCACTTTAATGTAACCTGGCAGTAGGCAGATTAATATGTGTAGAACTGAGTTCTACGTTATCAATCAGGGATTAAGTACAATACTTTGAGCTGATTGGGTAACGTGCCAGCTAGTACCCGCCTTCTATAATAAGCTTCCAGCCAATCGTAGCAGCATAATTCGTCTGCAGGTTCTTGAGTGTTTTCACAACTAGCGGAGTGAGCTGATAAATCTAAGTTGTTCCCAAATCCTGTCGCAGACATCTTTCCCATCTACACATGCACAAAGTGCTTCTCTTTGCTTATTTTAAACAAGAAATTGTCACTATTTTCGCTAAAACTGAGTCACTTGCGGTATCGACATGTGAGTACTCCAGCGTAGCCTCGTTTGTAATGCCCCGGCAAGGTCCTTCCGGCTGTCGTCATTACTTCATGTCCCGCCGAAAAAACCCTGCTGGCATGTCATTGGTTCTACTCGCTGGTGGTTATGAGACGGACTTGTTAGCGGGAGTCTTTCAAGATGGATGTTTTGTGAGACTGAAAACTCAGAACTCGCGATTATCCAGCACATAGTTAACTTCCATGATCAAACGCACATTGAAAGCTATACTTCACACTTCACCTTTTCCAAGGCATAATTTCCATTTCTTTAAATTAAATCTTTGTTGTCTTAAAGGGAACAAACCCTCTAAATCTAAAATGCTAACAATGCAGACCCTGATGTCATTATGCTGAGCCTCAAAGGTCTGTAAAGTAACAAATATCTGCGGCTCTAAGACTCACCATAGAAAGAGTAGTTTTTAGAAACTCCCAACCAACTTTCATAACACCTTTGAATCATCTACCTTTAGACTAAGAAAATAAAATGAGACCTTTTTGCTGCCAGATCTGCGTAGTTAGGGGCTCTTTTCGTGCTTTCAGAGAAGCTGCATTGGCAGAGATGGGAGGTGAAGGGAGATTGTCCTGCAGCCTGTACCGGACAGACATTGACTGCACACCATGAAAAGGTACAAACCCACTCACACATTATGTCCTGCTATCATTAAGGGGACTTTCCACTGACTCTTACCCTAATTCTGTCCATTACCAATACATACCTGACCCTAAACCTAACCTAATCTCAATTCACACCTTAGTCTAAATGCTAACCACCAAGTCAAGAAGAGACCCTTTCTTTAGGGGGACCAGTTGACTGGTACCCAGAAGTAGGCTACCTGTAAGTCCCTGCAAAGTAGAACATTCCTTCTCAAATTGGCCCCACAAGGTAAACACGAACAGGGGGAACCAGTCCTTTACATGGCTTTGGGTCTGAGTGGATTTTCTCTATTTATCAAGTTTTGTCGTGTTTGTCAGATAATATCATGAAAACAGCGACAGAAGTGAAGATAGATGGACAAGCAGATCATATCCAAAGATAATCCTTTAGGTACCTCAGATGAAGATCTTGGAAAAATACCAAAACCTTGTCTGCTAGAATAGATTAAAATGTCGGTCTTTATACCCAGATTTGGATGGATGGATTGTATGGATGGTCATTTGTTGATTGGTTTGTTGATTGATTAGTTAGTTGGTTAGACAAACACCTAGAAAAAGTAGATTCTATTCTATTATTTCCTTTGTGAATCCCAGATTGTTCATTGTTCTTTGCCTTTTCTAAAAAGTTCTTTAAAGCAGTCCTAGCTGTCTTTATCCATGCTGTCTCAGATTCTGACGTTTGAAAAAGGAGGCAGGGAAAGCAGGATAAAGCCTTAGCCTCGCTGCATGCAGTTAGCTTAGCCTTGAAGGTAAACCAGGTCCTGGAAAAAGGACCAAGTGAAGCGTCTCCATTTGTCTCTGGGCTGCTGATTATTTTGATGTTCGGCCGATCAAGTCCAAATGGTTTCACCTCCAGCTTTTCTTGGTAAGTTTGTTTCCCTCCCACGACTCGGCCTGTCAATCACCCGCACAACAACTGTGACGACACTTCCCGTCACCTCAGGGCGCTCCTCTCCTGCGCCCCGAGTCGTCCTATTCTTTTATATTGCAGAGGAGCTACTGCAGATGTACCACTTTTAACGACAGTCAATTGCCAAAGATTTGTGTAGTAGGTAGGTAGGTAGGTAGGTAACCTTAATGTGATATTTTAAGCATATTTGTCAAATTAGGCAACATAAATGCTGTGATTTATTTTACACAGTTTCTCAATTCTTTTTGTTATGTTCTTTATTTCTTTACAGGACATTTATCTATTTGGAGGAAAGTTCTCAAATAAAGATGCAACAGTGACATCATCCAACGAAATCCATAAACTCAGTATTTGTACGTAGGTTATTGATATGTCGCATTTCTGTAAATAAATCCACTAGAGTAAACTAAATTCATTCTCCGTGTGTCTCCAGCAAAGATGAAGTGGAAGGTTCCACTGTATGTTGGGATTCCTCCAGCCCGGCGACATGGCCACGCTGCCTTTATCCTCCACAGTCATGTCAGCTTAGCATTGAATTTATCATCAATATCAGTGACGTTACTCGTTCTCTAATCCCTCCTGACTCTGTTTTATGGTTCATAGCTCTATATTTTCGGAGGGAGGAATGAGGAGCAGGATTTTAATGACCTGAAGGTGATGAAGCTCATCAACCCTTCTGAGAGACAACCAGGTAAATTAGATGCACCTCTAAACCCTAAAGGATCCTCGGGCAACAAAGTCCTAATCTCAGTAAAACAGAAAAATTTCAGGTTAGAAATGTAGAAAAGTCTGATCTTCAACGTTGATTTGGTGCAAAAAAATTGACATTAAGAAAAAATATTATTTTTAAAATACAAGTGCTACACCTAATAGTGGAACAGTGACTGGTTGTTTAAGAGGTTTGATGTGCTAGAGATGAGTGATGTTTAGTTGGTTGGTTGGTTGGTTGGATAGTTGGTTGGTTGGTTGTATGGTTCGTTGATTGAATGGTTGGTTGGTTGTATGATTAGATGGTTGGTTTGATTGGTTGGATGGTTCGTTGGTTGGTTGGATGAATGGTTGGTTGGATGTTTGGTCAATTGATTGATTGAATGGATGGTTGGGTGATTGGTTCGATGGTTGGTTTGATGGTTCGTTGGTTGTTTGGGTGTTTGGATGGATGGTTAGATGGTTGGTTGGATGGTTGGTTAATTGATTGATTGGTTGGATGGTTGGTTGAATGTTTTGTTGGATGGTTCGTTGGTTGTTTGGATGGATGGTTAGATGGTTGGTTGTATGGTTGGATTGTTGGTTGGTTGGTTGGATAGTTGGTTGGTTGGTTGTATGGTTCGTTGATTGAATGGTTGGTTGTATGATTAGATGGTTGGTTGATTGGATGGTTGGTTGGATGTTTGGTCAATTGATTGATTGGATGGATGGTTGGTTGATTGGTTTGATGGTTTGTTGGTTGTTTGGGTGTTTGGATGGATGGTTAGATGGTTGGTTGGATGGTTGGTCAATTGATTGATTGGTTGGATGGTTGGTTGAATGTTTGGTTGGTTGGTTCGTTGAATGGTTTTTTGGACGAATGAATGGTGGGTTGGATGTTTGGGTGTTTGGATGGATGGATGGATGGATGGATGGATGGTAGGATTGACTGATTAATTAATTAATTGTTGTTGATTAATTGATTGATGATAAATTGATTGCTTGTTGATCAATTTATGAATTTTTTATGCATCAATTGTTGATTAATTGATTGATTGTAGGTTAATTGATTAATTGTTGATTAATTGATTAATTGATTGTCCCCCAGTAATGAAGGAGATTCTGTCAGAGTTTGGTCTTCAGGGAGTCAGCCACAGGTCAGTGGCTTCAGCAGCTGTTTCTCAGTTTCTGATTAAACGTGTGTGTGTGTGTGGGGGGGGGGGGGGGGTTTGGGTGTCATGCTCCACTTGAGTCTCAGTTTTAAAAATCTTTGTTTCATTCTGGTTTTTACTGGTAACAGCTTCACTCCCACAAAGGTTCCTAACGTCCGCTATGAGCTGAATGATTCAGCTCCGTCCATCCAGCCCAGAGCAGCAGCAGCAGCACAGGTGCAGGTGCAGCACACACACTAACAACTTTATATTTCTATCCATGTGGGGTTTGTTAGTTCCTGTCTTTATGCCTGACCCTGACACCTCCTTTAACCTCATCCAATGCCAGTATATTCCCAATCCTAACCTCACCAAAAGATAATCCACGCCATTATAGATGGGCCTGTGCCACATTAGGACCAGACCCTGGTCTGCATGAGGCCTGCTGGTCCTCAGAGGTTTAGTACCAGAAAAAAGTCCTAATTAGTCACATAAGCAAACACCCCCACACCCACTCAGATCTCTGTTTCAGGCTCAGGCTGAAACCCACTGATGACACAGCTACCTTTTCCTGCAGCAGGTTCGTGTCCACAGAGACTTCAGTGCAGTTCGAGATCAGGCCATGAAAATGATCCAGGCTGCCTTCACTCTGCTGGACCAGGAGTTTCAGAAACTCGATCGGTACAAGAAGGTTTTCATCTTCTTCTAGTTGTAGCAACTGATGAATCACAGATGAATCGTTTTTCTCTTTCTTTAGAGAGAAGTTAGAACTTTCCAAAGCTGCTGCCGCTCTGCAAAGAGAGAAGGAGGCACATGAAGCACACAGACAACAAAAACAGCAGGTCACCTAAACTTTAATCTTCTTTCACCAAATTCAAACTGGCTCCAGAATACATGATGCTGTCTGTTTCAGACAGTAATGGGACTCTCTGCAGGTCATAATCTGGAGAAACCTTAAACTAATGTGGTCAGTTAGCGCTGTAATTTGGTCTAATCTGATCTAGTCTAACCGAGACAAGTTCCACACTGATTTATTCCGATATAATCTGGAGAAACTTTAATCGAATCTAACCTTTCAGGACAACTCGATTTTATTTAAACATTTTAATCTAATCTGGACACAAACTATTTTAATTTGACATCAAAATTGTTTTCAGATTCATCATAAAACTGAATCTCAGTCTCTTACGTCAGAGACTAAGAATCTAATCTAAACTCTAATCAGACTAAACAAACCGACTTGGAGAGAGTCTATCAGGTTCAGATTACGTCCATTTTAATCCAGCAGTAAAACTTTGATCATCTCTTTTACTATTTAGTAAGAATCAAAATGTCCTGAATGCATCAGGAGCTGAAGGAGATGCTGGAGAAACACCGCTGGCAGAACGAGGCGTGGCTCCGAGCGAGAGCAGAGGAGAACGACCGAGAGAGGAGGGAGCTCTGCAGACTCCGAGTCAGTCAATCAAACACACAAACCCCCCCAGCTTGAGGGGGGCCCCATGGCTCCATACTCAGCTCTCTGCTTTTTGACTGAATTATTTACAAATGAAAGGTTTTCCCTTTCATTTCCTGGTTTTATGATGAACCCTGCCTTATTCCAGATGTATTTCTCATAGATTGGTTCTGTGTGTATATTTCTATCGTCAGGAGGAGGTGCTGCAGGACCAGGAGAGGCTGAAGGAGGAGCAGGACAGCGTCCAGAAACGCAGCCAGCATCTGCTGTCCATCATGCAGCAGTTCAAAGGGATGTAGAAAGCAGCCAATCAGCTGCTGACCAGTTTCCTTCTAACCTGTAACAGATTTTAAAAGTTGGTTTACGACAAAAATAAAGACGCAGTTTGGAGTTTATAGGACATAAATATCAGATCTGAGAGATAAACGATAAACAGAGAAACGGACTGATTGGTTGATCAAATAAAATTAAATCAAATTCATCCATCATCCACCCATCATCCATCCATCCATCATCCATCCATCCATCCATCCATCCATCCATCATTCATCCATCATCCATCCATCCATCCATCATCCATCATCCATCCATCATCCATCCATCATCCATCCATCCATCATCCATCCATCATCCATCCATCCATCATCCATCCATCCATCCATCCATCCATCCATCATTCATCCATCATCCATCCATCCATCCATCATCCATCATCCATCCATCATCCACCCATCATCCATCCATCCATCATCCATCCATCCATCCATCCATCCATCCATCATTCATCCATCATCCATCCATCCATCCATCATCCATCATCCATCCATCATCCATCCATCATCCATCCATCCATCATCCATCCATCATCCATCCATCCATCCATCCATCCAATCATCCATCCATCCATCCATCCATCATCCATCCATCATCCATCCATCATCCATCCATCCATCCATCCATCCATCCATCCATCCATCATCCATCCATCCATCCATCCATCCAATCATCCATCCATCCATCCATCATCCATCCATCATCCATCCATCATCCATCCATCCATCCATCCATCCATCATCCATCCATCATCCATCCATCATCCATCCATCCATCCATCCATCCATCCATCCATCCATCATCCATCCATCATCCATCCATCCATCATCCATCATCCATCATCCATCATCCATCCATCATCCATCCATCCATCATCCATCATCCATCCATCCATCCATCCATCCATCCATCCATCCAATCATCAATCCATCCATCCATCATCCATCCATCATCCATCCATCATCCATCCATCCATCATCCATCATCCATCATCCATCCATCCATCTATCCATCATCCATCCATCCATCCATCATCCATCCATCCATCCATCCATCCATCATCCATCCATCATCCATCCATCCATCCATCATCCATCCATCCATCCATCCATCATCCATCCATCCATCCATCCATCCATCCATCCATCCATCCATCCATCATCCATCCATCATCCATCATCCATCCATCCAATCATCCATCCAATCATCCATCCATCCATCCAATCATCCATCCATCCATCCATCCATCCAATCATCCATCCATCCATCCATCCAATCATCCATCCATCCATCATCCATCCATCCATCCATCCATCCATCCATCATCCATCCATCCATCCATCCAATCATCCATCCATCCATCATCCATCCATCCATTCATCCATCATCCATCCATCCATCATCCATCCATCCATCCATCCATCATCCATCCATCCATCCATCCATCCATCCATCCATCATCCATCCATCCATCCATCCATCCATCCATCCATCATCCATCCATCATCCATCCATCCATCCATCCATCCACCATCCATCCATCATCCATCCATCCATCCATCATCCATCCATCCACCATCCATCCATCCATCCAATCATCCATCCATCCATCATCCATCCATCATCCATCCATCCATCCACCATCCATCCATCCATCATCCATCCATCCATCCATCCATCCATCCATCATCCATCCATCCATCCAATCATCCATCCATCCATCCATCATCCATCCATCATCCATCCATCCATCCATCATCCATCCATCCATCCATTAAATCATCCATCCATCCATCCATCCATCCATCCATCCATCATCCATCCATCATCCATCCATCCATCCATCCATACAATCATCCATCCATCCATCCATCCATCCAATCATCCATCCATCCATCCATCATCCATCCATCCATCCATCCATCCATCATCCATCCATCCATCCATCCATCCATCCATCCATCATCCATCCATCCATCCATCCATCAATCCATCATCCATCCATCCATCCATCCATCAATCCATCCATCAATCCATCATCCATCCATCCATCCATCCATCATCCATCCATCCATCCATCCACCATCCATCCATCCATCCATCCAATCATCCATCCATCATCCATCCATCCATCCATCCATCAATCCATCATCCATCCATCCATCCATCCATCCATCCATCAATCCATCCATCAATCCATCATCCATCCATCCATCCATCCATCCATCATCCATCCATCCATCCATCCATCCATCCATCCATCAATCCATCCATCAATCCATCATCCATCCATCCATCCATCCATCCATCATCCATCCATCCATCCATCCACCATCCATCCATCCATCCATCCAATCATCCATCCATCCATCATCCATCCATCCATCCACCATCCATCCATCCATCCATCCATCCATCCAATCATCCATCCATCCATCCATCCATCCATCCATCATCCATCCAATCATCCATCCATCCATCCAATCATCCATCCATCCATCCATCCATCCATCCATCATCCATCCATCCATCCATCCATCCATCCATCCATCCATCTATCATCCATCCATCCATCCATCCATCATCCATCCATCCATCCATCCAATCATCCATCCATCCATCCATCCATCATCCATCCATCCATCCATCCATCCATCCATCATCCATCCATCCAATCATCCATCCAATCATCCATCCATCCATCCAATCATCCATCCATCCATCCATCCAATCATCCATCCATCCATCCATCCATCCATCCAATCATCCATCCATCATCCATCCATCCATCCATCCATCCATCCATCATCCATCCATCCATCCAATCATCCATCCAATCATCCATCCATCCATCCAATCATCCATCCATCCATCCATCCATCCAATCATCCATCCATCCATCCATCCAATCATCCATCCATCCATCCATCCATCATCCATCCATCCATCCATCCAATCATCCATCCATCCATCCATCATCCATCCATCCATCCATCCAATCATCCATCCATCCATCCATCCATCCAATCATCCATCCATCCATCCATCCATCCATCCATCCATCCATCCATCCATCCAGGTTCAAAGGTCAGGAAAACATTCCAGTCGTTTCATGTTTCTGATATAAACGTTTCGTCTGATTGGATCCTTGATGGATCCACATGAGCAGCAGATGTTGCTCAGCTGAGCAGATCTGATGTAAAATCCAGAACCTACATATAAACGGTTTTGTGTGAAATGAGTGATGAGTGTAATCGTAATAAAAAACTGAATTAAAGCTGCGTCTAAGAGTCTGTTGTCTCTTTTCTCTTTCATCCTTTAAAGAACGTGTTAATTAAGGATCCTCCATGTTGTTCAGATCAACAGCAAGAAACAAGGACTGATTTGAAGCTTTAGGAAGCAAGAATCAGCTGAATGTGGAAGATCTGCTTTTTGTTTCAGTTTAGATTCTGTGCAGAAAAGAGAACAAAAAACTACCAATAAAGAACAGAAAATCAGGATCTTAGTTCACAGACATTTGAATTCTCAGGTTCTGATGGTTTATTAGATTAAATGCATGAAACTGGTTTGGAATTGAGAATCTTATTTAAGAGAAGAAAAGTCCTTCTTAGATGTATTTATGAAAAAAAACACAGTTTATTTGTTTTTTTTAAAGAATAAGAAAATGATGTGATTGAATCCAGATGATGAAGGTGTGAAGCTGCCACTGCAGCAGATCTCTGAGCAGAACAAAAGAAAACATCAGAATCCAGCATTTATGTCTCTGCTGCTCTCTTTGTTTCCCAGCTATCACTAAGGACAGATGGACATGTCCCCCAGAGTGTCCCCGGGGTGTCTCCCGCCTGTCTGTCTGTCTCTGTCGCATTAAGCAGAAGGACGGATCACTATTCAGCGAGGAAAAACAGCGTAATGCGCCAGTCCAGGCTCCTGTGTTTCCTCTCGGTCGCACTATTTGGCAGAAGGAAGCAGGGGTGGGGAGCGAGAGGGAGGGGCATCAAGGCTGCGTCACCACAGCCGGAAATACGCGCAAGAAACCAAAAATAAAAGCCTCTTTATTTAATATTCATTCTTCTTTTGAGTCAGACTTGAACGTAGTAAATGAAATGTCGTTTTGTAAACCGTCTGTTCATACAAAATGAAAATAAAAGTTGTCTAAGTTTAATTTTGTACATTTAATTCTTTGATGCATCTTTTCCTTCTTTTGCAGCTTGTGTTTATTAGAGCTGATGTCACAGGTGAATTTCTCCATTGTGAGATCTTATTAAGTCTTATCTTAATCAAACCCTGAAAATGTAGGACAATTCTAAAGGTTGAAAAAAATGTTCAAGTTGAGAATAAACTGTTTTAAGAAATAACTGATTTTGTTTCCATTAATATAAATGTAGCTGCAGCTGAATTTTCCTTTTTATGTTGTAAATGTTTCTGTTTATCAAACTAAAAGAAACTGGGATATTTTGGAGCTTAATCTAAATGTAATATTACTTTAAGAACATGATAAACATTTAGGATTTGTTATTGAATATTGTAATCGTAAAAATATGCAGACCCAGTTTATAGATTAATATACCTATGTTTTTAAGAATTTGTTACTGTTGTAATAAACAATTTCTGTTTACAGCAGAGCAAAATCAAACATTACAGATTAAAATTATACAGAATACCTGTTTAATTCTATTTGAATTTAATGACAAAAGAAACCCTACATAATTAATTAATTGTAAATTTATATTTAATATATTTTCATTAAGCAAGAAATATGAAAAGGTGCACACATTCAATGTTAAAATATATTTTACTTTAATATAAATAACAATAGATTTTAAATGCAAGAATAAATAACATTTTATAGGACTCTATTAACCGCGTATTACGGAAGAGGATTAGGGCCACTTAAAAGAAAAAAAAAAAGTAAACTGATTTTTAAATTTTATTTCAGTTTAACATGGGGGAAAAAGTCAGAATTCTGAGATTAGAGTCAGAATTCTGACTTTTTTACCATACTAAACTGAATTTTTTTTTTAAATCAGTTAACTTTTTTTTTTTTTTCAGTGGCCCTAATCCTCTTCCGTAGCTTATTAATGTATATATCAGTGTTTCAATAAATACAAACAGCTGCAGTGAGTTGAGCTCCTGCTGAGCTGCGTGTCTTTTATTTTGAAAGACCCAGCCGGATGTTGGTCATCCCGCTGCTTGCAGCTTGACGCCTGGAGGTGAGATGGCCGAGAAGTGTCTGAGGTTCCTGTGAATCGGAGCGGCTCAGTGGACAGACCCGCAGGAACCCTCCGTTCTCCCGCCCCGGTCCGTTAGGCATTTTCACGGTAAGACAGAAAGGCGCGCGCACCTGTCCGGTTAGCTTGCAGGTAAACAACCAGCGACAGCACGCGGAGCGTTCGTTTTGTAGGCTGCGTTCTCCCGCCGAGGGGGAGGGGCGGTAGAGGCAGCAGCGCCAGACAGCTAGAGACCGAACCCAGTCCCCGGCTGTGTCCCCTGTCTGGGACAGCCCTGGCCCCGGTTAGACCCCCCGGACTGGACCGCTGTAGTCCAGCGGTCTGTGACCCCCCCCCCCCCCCCATGTGTTTGTAAAGGACTGTAAAGAAAAAAGGAAAAGGCGAGCAACATGGCTGACGCTGCAGAGCCTCTTTCTGGTTTTCTCACCGCAGAACCTTCATGAGAAAATGACAAACTGAACAGAAACAGGCGGATCAACAGTCAGAGCAGCCGCCGCGTTCTTTCAGAATCCGGAGCGGATGCAGTGAAATCCAGTTTCCCCTGAAGGTCTCAGACTGGAGCCTTTTGGTGCATTGTCACATTGAAATGCAGCAGAATGGACAGGTTGGCTGACTGATCACCATGGAGACCAGGACCAGAACCTGCAGCTGGGTCCGGTTCCAGGTCTAGCTCTAGGTCCAGGTCTGATCAGAACCCAAACATCAGCTGAGAGGAAGTTCAAGTTCATAGTTGCTCATTTTCAAAAATACCTGCCTGAAAACTAAAGATTGACTGAAGGAAACCTGCATCTGTCAGAAACTGGAAAATCCGGTTTTGATTCCTGTTTATAAACGCACCATATGATGGAAGAAAAAATCAGACTGAAATATTTGATGCCTTTTCTGTTACTTTGAAGATTAGGTCCTCATTTATAAAAAAAAATAAACTCAGTTTCTCTTCAGGTTATGATTAGGAGGGGATTTACCATTAGGCAATACTAGGCAGCTGCCTGGGGCCCCAAGTTCCTGGGGGCCCCATAAAACTCTGTTTCCATGTATGTTTAATAAAACTATTCCTTATTTCTGCACATTAATTATGTTTTTGATAAAAATCCTTTGGCTAAAATGCCATCAGAACGCTGATAATATTAAGTGTCTCAGCCCCCCCCTTCAGTGTCCACCATATTGGATCAGTCCATTTGCTGCACATGTTCAGAAAGGTCCAAACAGACAGAAAACAAACCATGCAAAGAGCAGTGTTGCCAACTTAGCGCTTTAGTCGCTATATTTAGCCACTTTTCAGACCCCTCTAGCACTTTGATTTCTAAAAAGCTCCTAGCGCCAAATCTAGAGACTTTTTTCTGCTACTGGAGACTTTGGAGACAACATCTAAAAGCAGCGAACTCTGCTCTCCAGAGCGAGTAGATTGGTAACCCCGCCTCCTGCTCTCCTCTATCTTGTCTGCTGTCATGATTCATGCAGCTATTATTTCATCCAAATGAAAAATGGAGAACAGATAAGCAGATCATGGCTTGTCTACAGTGAAAAGAAGGACTGGGTTATTTACTTTGGCCTTTTTGGAAACACAGGAAGGAGCAATCAGCTAAGTGAGCTTAGTGCTTGGAAAAAATCTTTCATTCCTTTAGAGACAGCATGAAAAGTCAGCTGAGTACAAAACATAGAGAGGAAAACAAGAAGAAAAGGGACAAGAAGAGAGGGACACAACCTAGAACAGATAATGGATGTCTATTCTATTAACATTTCTCTATCTGGAGAATGGGGCTGTTTGATGTTTTTGGGCCCCCTGCCTGTCTTTGCCTAGGGCCCCACATTTACTAAATCCACCCCTGGTTAAGATGTCATTTCAGAGAAATTAAAACAGGAGTTTTTCATATAGAAATGTTTTCCTTTAGTCGGCTGCTCCATCAGGATGCCATTTTTTTCTCTAATTCAATTTATTAATCTTATTTTTTTCCAGAGGTGTCAGAAGTATTCATGTTTATTCCTCCAGTATAACACTTTTCTAGAAGTTAGAGGATCAACTTCAGCTTTTTACTCCAGTAAAAGTGTAAAAGAGGCCCGCAGCATAATGCTGCCACCACCGTAACCCAACATGGGCTTTAAATGAAGCATAAACAGCTGCTATAGGGAGTCTGTTAAGAAAGGTGATGTCAGAGAGCAGGAATGATGCTGACGGACCTCCTGCTGTGAGGCCGCTGGACAGAAGTGAATTAAATCCTGCGATCGACTCTTTGGATCAGGAAAAGTTTTCAGCTTGTTGCAGCTGCTGAGTCTGAAGGGAAACTAGTGAGGGCTGCAGCTAATCGTTATTTTCTAATAGATTGATTATTAATTAGTTGGTCCAAAATGTCTCACAGGTTCTGGTTGGTCCGGAATGTCTCTGAGGTTCTAGTTGGTCCGGAATGTCTCTGAGGTTCTGGTTGGTCCGGAATGTCTCTGAGGTTCTGGTTGGTCCGGAATGTTCTGAGGTTCTAGTTGGTCCGGAATGTCTCTGAGGTTCTGGTTGGTCCGGAATGTCTCTGAGGTTCTGGTTGTTCCGGAATGTCTCTGAGGTTCTGGTTGGTCCGGAATGTTCTGAGGTTCTAGTTGGTCCGGAATGTTCTGAGGTTCTGGTTGGTCCGGAATGTTCTGAGGTTCTAGTTGGTCCGGAATGTTCTGAGGTTCTAGTTGGTCCGGAATGTCTCTGAGGTTCTGGTTGGTCCGGAATGTCTCTGAGGTTCTGGTTGGTCCGGAATGTCTCTGAGGTTCTGGTTGGTCCGGAATGTCTCTGAGGTTCTGGTTGGTCCGGAATGTTCTGAGGTTCTAGTTGGTCCGGAATGTTCTGAGATTCTAGTTGGTCCAAAATGTCTCTGAGGTTCTGGTTGGTCCGGAATGTTCTGAGGTTCTGGTTGGTCCGGAATGTCTCTTAGGTTCTGGTTGATCCGGAATGTCTCTGAGGTTCTGGTTGGTCCGGAATGTCTCTGAGGTTCTGGTTGGTCCGGAATGTTCTGAGGTTCTAGTTGGTCCGGAATGTCTCTGAGGTTCTGGTTGGTCCGGAATGTCTCTTAGGTTCTGGTTGATCCGGAATGTCTCTGAGGTTCTGGTTGATCCGGAATGTCTCTGAGGTTCTGGTTGATCCGGAATGTTCTGAGGTTCTGGTTGGTCCGGAATGTCTCTGAGGTTCTGGTTGGTCCGGAATGTCTCTGAGGTTCTGGTTGGTCCGGAATGTCTCTGAGGTTCTGGTTGGTCCGGAATGTCTCTTAGGTTCTGGTTGATCCGGAATGTCTCTGAGGTTCTGGTTGGTCCGGAATGTCTCTGAGGTTCTGGTTGATCCGGAATGTCTCTGAGGTTCTGGTTGGTCCGGAATGTCTCTGAGGTTCTGGTTGGTCCGGAATGTTCTGAGGTTCTAGTTGGTCCGGAATGTTCTGAGGTTCTAGTTGGTCCAAAATGTCTCTGAGGTTCTGGTTGGTCCGGAATGTTCTGAGGTTCTGGTTGGTCCGGAATTTCTCTGAGGTTCTGGTTGGTCCGGAATGTCTCTGAGGTTCTGGTTGGTCCGGAATGTCTCTGAGGTTCTAGTTGGTCCGGAATGTCTCTGAGGTTCTGGTTGGTCCGGAATGTTCTGAGGTTCTAGTTGGTCCGGAATGTTCTGAGGTTCTGGTTGGTCCGGAATGTCTCTGAGGTTCTAGTTGGTCCGGAATGTCTCTGAGGTTCTGGTTGATCCGGAATGTTCTGAGGTTCCGGTTGGTCCGGAATGTCTCTGAGGTTCCGGTTGGTCCGGAATGTTCTGAGGTTCTGGTTGGTCCGGAATGTCTCTGAGGTTCTGGTTGGTCCGGAATGTCTCTGAGGTTCTGGTTGATCCGGAATGTCTCTGAGGTTCTGGTTGGTCCGGAATGTCTCTGAGGTTCTGGTTGGTCCGGAATGTTCTGAGGTTCTGGTTGGTCCAGAATGTTCTGAGGTTCTGGTTGGTCCAGAATGTTCTGAGGTTCTAGTTGGTCCGGAATGTCTCTGAGGTTCTGGTTGGTCCGGAATGTCTCTGAGGTTCTGGTTGGTCCGGAATGTTCTGAGGTTCTGGTTGGTCCGGAATGTTCTGAGGTTCTGGTTGGTCCGGAATGTCTCTGAGGTTCTAGTTGGTCCGGAATGTTCTGAGGTTCTAGTTGGTCCGGAATGTCTCTGAGGTTCTGGTTGGTCCGGAATGTCTCTGAGGTTCTGGTTGGTCCGGAATGTTCTGAGGTTCTGGTTGGTCCGGAATGTCTCTGAGGTTCTGGTTGGTCCAGAATGTTCTGAGGTTCTGGTTGGTCCGGAATGTCTCTGAGGTTCTAGTTGGTCCGGAATGTCTCTGAGGTTCTAGTTTCTCCGGAATGTTCTGAGGTTCTGGTTGGTCCGGAATGTCTCTGAGGTTCTAGTTGGTCCGGAATGTTCTGAGGTTCTAGTTGTTCCGGAATGTTCTGAGGTTCTAGTTGTTCCGGAATGTTCTGAGGTTCTAGTTGGTCCGGAATGTCTCTGAGGTTCTAGTTGTTCCGGAATGTTCTGAGGTTCTGGTTGGTCCGGAATGTTCTGAGGTTCTGGTTGGTCCGGAATGTCTCTGAGGTTCTAGTTGGTCCGGAATGTTCTGAGGTTCTAGTTGGTCCGGAATGTTCTGAGGTTCTAGTTGGTCCGGAATGTTCTGAGGTCTGAGAATCTTCTCTAACTGGGAAGGAAAAACAGTTCAGAGCTTCTGGGAGCTGTCAGGTTTCTGCCTCATTTTTCTTCCTGGTTCCTGTTACAGAGTTCCGGTTCCGTCGGGTCGAGCCTTTTGGTTCTGCTGGGCTCCTCTGAGTGGAGCAGGCAGATGTTACATAACGCTGCAGCTGCAGATGAATAATGCAGCGGACGCCTTCTCACTGCTCCGCTGATCAATTATGAATGTGGAGCCTTTGGAGGCGTGTTCTGGTTCTGGTTCTGTGGGTCAGAGCCACACATCAGCCATCAAAGTTAGCCTGACAAACCAAACACATTTATTGTTTCAGGGTCATTTTTCAGAACAGGAGTCATGATACAAGGACCAGGAAAAGTAAAAGTTCTAACTTCATTGATGTCAAAACTTTCTGCAGAAGCATGAAGCCCCTTAAAGTAGATCTATAGAAGTTTATCTGGGCTTTTTAGTGGCAGTGGAAATGATTATCCAGCTGCTAAACCTGCAGATATAAAATCTGAGGCATTAAAGCCTAACTAAGACATTTTCTTCTGCTCTGTTTTTTTCCAGGTTTCATTCTGGTTTTTTCAGGAGCGGAAAGGCGAACGGCTGCATCACCGATCCTGAGGTCCTGAGATCGGGTAGAATTTTCTCACGCTTCGTTTTATTGGAGGGTTATTTTAATTGGTTAGACAGCAGATCAGTCAATTCAATGATGGCAGGGATTCAAACCATGATGACATCACCACCGTGCTTGATAACGTTTCTCAATTCACTAGAACACCAGTACGGACTCGTGTTCTCACCAAGTCCGTTCTTGACCAGAACCCAGGAAAGTCTGGACTCTGGGAGAACGGGAGCAGAATAAACCTGGGTCAACTGGAACTGAAGCGTACTGATGACATCACCACATTCAAAGCTCGTCTGGAGCTGCATTTCACCTCCTGTTATTAATAGTCTCTAGATAATAATAAATGATGACTTTTTTCATTTAGTGGAGGAATAATAATGAACACAGTCAGATAAACACAAATCAGATGAACATTTAAAAAAATAAAACAATCAAACCTCCATCAGAGCCAGCGGTCCTTCACACATGGCTATGCAGAGTGAGGGCTGCTGCAGACGGGCTAATGTTAGCCCCGGCCGCCGCAGACGGGCTAGCGTTTGCCCCGGCCGCCGCAGACGGGCTAGCGTTAGCCCTGGATGCTGCAGACAGGCTAACGCTAGCCCTGGCTGCAGTTAACCTTGGAGCTCCGCTGGTTGCCACGGTCCTCTCAACTGGAATTAATTTTTTTTTAAATTAGGCACTACATAAGTAAATGATCTTAAAAAGTACTTTTATTGAACAACAGCAACAGAAAAGAGAACTTTTAACTTAATACTCTGAGCTCTGTGAGCGCTAACCTGGAAGCTGCTGCTGCCGCAGTGCATGCTGGGACAGCTGTCAGTCTGGAGAACAAGTCTGCTCTGATGCATGCTGGGTAAAGAGGGAGGGGCCAGAACAACATCCAGGGACTTTGTCCGTTCTCTGTCTGCTGTGAACTGGAACAGTGCGAGAGCTGAGGATGATGAGGTTGAGTGATCCAAGCTGTGAGGTCATCAGGTCATTACATAAATTCAGTACTTTTTTTTTTTTACGGCACTAGCGGCCCGTTTTTTCGACAGTAGGCTGACAGGAAAGGGGGTATGAGAGAGGGGGAGAGACATACGGGAAAGGACCACAGGCGGGATTCGAACCCGGGGCGGCCGCATCGAGGGCTAAGGCCTCCATACATGGGTCGTGTGCGCTAATCACTGTGCCTCCAAAGCACAGCCTAAATTCAGCAGTTTCATCATTGAATCCATTCATCCATCCATTAATGAATGGATCCATTTCTCCGTGTATTTCCAGACCTGGAGACCCGGTTCTGGCTGTAGTTCTGTGGTGAGGCAGCCCGGCTGCCCCTCTGCCTCCAGATGAATGAAGAGCCCTCCGGGACACAGAGACACGGCCGATGCAGGTACCGTCAGACTGGCTGCTTTCATCCACTTCACTCTGCTGGTTCCCATGGAGACGGTCTTCTTCCCAGTGGTTCCTAACTGGGCCGGTAGAACCTGATCCACTGAACCAGAACCTGACGTCCAGCCTGCCGCTGCTCTGTTTGACGCCATGTGTTTGTTTATCTTCTCAGGGCATGCAGGTGTTTCTGCAAACATGATGAAGAAGAAGAATCCACACAAGTGAGTATTTCCCCCCTCCTGTTCCCGCCGTGGGGAGGAGTCGGCCCTTCTGGGGCCTTAACCGCCTTTTCTGTGTCTGCAGGAAGCATAAGAGCAGTTTGGGCCCGCCCACCAAAGTTCTGTCCCAGCCGCGGCGCAACATCGTCGGCTGCAGGATCCAGCACATCTGGAAGGAGGGCGGGGGGCACGTGGTGTGGAAGGGAACGGTGCTGGATCAGGTGACCGCAGGGTGCTGCCGCATAAGCTCTGCTCTGCTTTAGAAATAGTTTTCATTCACTGAGGGGGGGGGGGACGTTCCCAGACTGGAGGGAAAACATGGAGAACGGAGGAGCAGCAGCTCTAGAGGAGGTAACTGGATGTTTGTTCCCTCCAGGTTCCTGTGAACCCGTCGCTCTACCTGATCAAGTACGACGGATTCGACTGCGTTTACGGTCTGGAGCTCCATAAGGATGAGCGTGTTCAGGGCCTGGAAGTTCTTCCCGACAGACTCGGTGAGGAGGAGCCGTGATCCGGAAAACGACGCTCCGACAGCTGAAGCTCAGAGTCACCAAACGGTTTTACTGTATGATGACAGATGAGTGCAGAATAGATGAGATGGAAATATTTCCTGAGAGCGATGCTGTGTGACCTTTGACCCCAGTATTAGTTTAATCCATCCAATGATCCTTGAGCTCCATCTTCATCTCCTGCTGCGTATCGATGCTCCTCTGTGACCTCAGAGGGTCGACCCGTCTCTGAATGGGTCATGTGACCCAGAGCGCCGCTTCTCGTCAGTCTGAGCTCCCCTTAAACACCAGAGCTAACTAAGCTAACAGCTGTTAGCTGGTCAGACATGTTTCTGGTTCTCTGATGGTGGATTGAATGTTTACCAGGAACTGCAGGATTCTAGACCTGCTGGTCCAAACTGGTCTGATACCAGAACCAGAACTTAGAGGGAGGCTGGTTCATTCAGAGACAGGGCAGTGCTGCTAGTTACTGGGAGAAATTTACTCCAATATTATTAAAAAAATTAATATACACTATATTGCCAAAAGTATTTGCTCACCCATCCAAATTATTGGAATCAGGTGTTCCAATCACTTCCATGGCCACAGGTGTATAAATTCAAGCACCTAGGCATGCAGACTGTTTTTACAAACATTTGTGAAAGAATGGGTCGCTCTCAGGAGCTCAGTGAATTCCAGCGTGGAACTGTGATAGGATGCCACCTGTGCAACAAATCCAGTCGTGAAATTTCCTCGCTCCTAAATATTCCACAGTCAACTGTCAGCTGTATTATAAGAAAATGGAAGTGTTTGGGAACGACAGCAACTCAGCCACGAAGTGGTAGGCCACGTAAACTGACGGAGCGGGGTCAGCGGATGCTGACGCGCATAGTGCGAAGAGGTCGCCAACTTTCTGCAGAGTCAATCACTACAGACCTCCAAACTTCATGTAGCTCAAGAACAGTGCGCAGAGAGCTTCATGGAATGGGTTTCCATGGGCGAGCAGCTGCATCCAAGCCATACATCACCAAGTGCAATGCAAAGCGTCGGATGCGGTGGTGTAAAGCACGCCGCCACTGGACTCTAGAGCAGTGGAGACGCGTTCTCTGGAGTGACGAATCGCGCTTCTCCATCTGGCAATCTGATGGACGGGTCTGGGTTTGGCGGTTGCCAGGAGAACGGTACTTGTCTGACTGCATTGTGCCAAGTGTAAAGTTTGGTGGAGGGGGGATTATGGTGTGGGGTTGTTTTTCAGGAGCTGGGCTTGGCCCCTTAGTTCCAGTGAAAGGAACTCTGAATGCTTCAGCATACCAAGACATTTTGGACAATTCCATGCTCCCAACTTTGTGGGAACAGTTTGGAGCTGGCCCCTTCCTCTTCCAACATGACTGTGCACCAGTGCACAAAGCAAGGTCCATAAAGACATGGATGACAGAGTCTGGTGTGGATGAACTTGACTGGCCTGCACAGAGTCCTGACCTCAACCCGATAGAACACCTTTGGGATGAATTAGAGCGGAGACTGAGAGCCAGGCCTTCTCGTCCAACATCAGTGTGCGACCTCACAAATGCGCTTCTGGAAGAATGGTCAAAAATTCCCATAAACACACTCCTAAACCTTGTGGACAGCCTTCCCAGAAGAGTTGAAGCTGTTCTAGCTGCAAAGGGTGGACCGACGTCATATTGAACCCTATGGATTAGGAACGGGATGTCACTTAAGCTCATATGTGAGTCAAGGCAGGTGAGCAAATACTTTTGGCAATATAGTGTATATATAGACATCCAAAATGCAAGACGTGTAGAGATCGAAATAAATACAATTCTAAAAGCTCTGATGCGAATATATATTTCTATCCTTGACTCACTAAATAATGCTAATACACGTCTTTAGAAAAATGTTTTATGACTTTAGTGAGACAATTTTGATGCTTTTTAGATTTTCTCCATCAAACAGCTTCTCTGACGTCATCATGGATCACGATCAGAGCAGTACATCTGATTAAACTCGGGGTGTAAATCACATCCATCATGGCGATTCGATTCAGTATCGATTTCCTGACCCAACGATTCGATTATTTTCGATTCTCAAAGAATAGACCACGATTCGATTCGATTAATCGGTTAAATTTTTCCTTTATTATTATTATTTTTTTTTTTACACCTTACAGGCTAAACAAAGTTTCAAGTTTGAAATAAATCAATGAAAGCTGTAATATCATTATTCATTTTCTTTAGAAACAACAGCAAATAACAGAAGTAGAAAAGTTGCATCAAAAAATACTGCACAATATCAGTGTAATGATTTCAATGCAATACCTCGGCTCCAGAGAAACTGTCCAACATATTTTTTTATAATGTAATAAATATACTCAGGAAAGAGAGATGTTGTGTAGAGAGTTAGACAGGAATAAAAATAAACTACATATAAGGGAATTGTTTCAAAGGTCATCTGGGGATGTAGTTTTTGGGAGTATTTTTAATTTTCTAAGAAGAACGGGTATTTTAGGGAGAATATAATAGTTTGTCTGGTCCATACTCCATTCTGGAAGGTGGCGGTAATGCACCTATAAGTTGTTTGCCAACCGCCATTAAAAAAAAGAAGAAGAAGAAGGCTGCAGAGTGTCGACGTCACCGCCCCCTTGAGAGACGCTCCGCTGCTCCTCTCCCAGATTGTAGCTGATTGCAAACAGTGCACCAGACAGGAGGCCGGCTTGTTTTGTTTTTATGACCGAAATTGCGGAAAACAACTCGTGAAGTTTGGCCCGCTAGAAGAGCGAGGTGTGCGAGAACGCTGGGACCCTTTTTCCAGCTGGATCTCCGCTCTTTTTGGCCCTCATGTCCCTCCGTCGTCGGTCTAAACTCGCCGCCACTTCCTCATCGCCTCGGCCCTTTCTAGACCCACAGCGTGTAGCACAGACCACGCTTCAATATTGAGCATAATTTAAAAATGTCTGCATCAAGCTCACTGCAACACACTGCTGTAAGAGTATAACCAGGAAGCGCGGTAGGAGGGCAAAATAGGTTTAGCGGCACCGCAGTACGGGAGGGAGAATTACGCCCAGGAGCAAATGGATAAAAATAGACCGGAGGAAAAAAAAAACATGAATCGATTATCTTGCGGACGTGTCGATGCATCGGATCGTCTGCTTTTGGATCGATGCATCGATACAAAACGATTATTATTTACACCCCTAGATTAAACCATCTTTATCTGCATTCTAGTTGTTTCTTTCTTTAGATTACGCGCTATATAGCATAATGTTAACATGGAAGGAAAACATAAAACTCAAAGACTAGATTTGTTTAAATCCACAGCCGATAAAGTTAGCTCCAGGAAGTAGCGTAGCATCCCATTTCCTGTACAGATCGGGAACAGAGGATAAAACAGAAAGGATTTTAAGGCTTTTATTTTCTCAGGAAATACATTATTAACCTTTAACACGTTATAGTTTAGTACGCGTACTATTTTCAAGGAGGGAAACATTTTATTTAGGTCTTTTATACAAAGTAAAATGCAGGGCGACCCGGATGTCTATCTGGATGATGATGATGATGAGCGGATGGGACGGATCGGGTAGTACCATTGCTACCCGATTCGTCCCGGAAGCAGGATCCGTCCCGCACGCGCTCCAACAGAATAACTTCCGGGTACGCAGTACTTCGGTTTTCTTTTGTATTTTTCCGGCGCGGGATTCCCTTTGAATATTTTTGTGTTTGCGTAAATATCGCATCTTCTAAAAGCTAAAAAGCAAAACACTTAAACATTCTTTGGAACGTTACTGTGATGCTCTGAGCGTGTCCGATGATGACATCACGCAGTACAATGGCGAGAATGGAAAACATTTCCATTACTTCCAGGAAAGTCTTCAGTATTTTCTATACGATGTAGTTTAGCATTCTTCAATGTTTTAAGTATATAAATAAGTATTTTTTTCAGTATGGTTATTACGTAGTTTTTCTGCGTTCAGGATCATATTATTCTGTTAGCGCGTTCGCAGGACGGATCGTGCTTCTGGAACGGATCGGGTAGCAACACGCGACACGACCTTCATGAATAGTGGAACAAAACTTCTTCATGTTTCCTTCAGGGGTTTAAGCAGGCAGTTACAGGTCTACCGCCCCCTGGTGGCTAAACGCTACACACAGTTTCCTGAGGAGCTACTTTATTTATATCAATATTATTTATATCATTATTTCATATAGAATTAGTTTAACACGATTATCATGTTTTAAATAAACATAAATGAAGTATAAAAAGTTCATTTAATATAAATATAAATGATCACCCAATATAAATATTATTTTTAGATAAACATGCTTTGATTATTTTTTAACATGCCAAAAGTTTTTCTCATTTATTTATTAATATATTTTAAATCCAGATTCTTTTGTATATTGAACTAAATCCCAAAGTAGTTGATTATGCTTTGAAAAACAGATTTATAAAAGTTATCATGGATGCAGAAAAAATATTTGAAATGAATATAAACCAATATTTATTTATAGTTATTTAAATGTATGTGAATTTTTATTTTATTTTATTGCAAAAAAAGAAAAACTGACATTAGAAATTTTAATCTAAACCATTTTCACTCTGCTCAATAGTTGCTTTTGGTGAATTAATTTTATGATGAGCTGAAGTGAACGGGGCCCCCAGGGGACGTTTGGCACTAACAGACCTTGATGTCCGCAGCCAAGTCCCGCCTGACGGACGTCAGCCTGGCCGACGCCATGATCGGGAAGGCTGTGGAGCACATGTTCGAGACGGAGGAGGGTCCGAAGGAGGAGTGGAGGGGGATGGTTCTGGCCCGGGCCCCCATCATGACCACCTGGTTCTACATCACCTACGAAAAGGACCCGGTTCTATACATGTACCAGCTGCTGGACGACTACAAGGAGGGAGACCTGCGCATCATGCCCGACTCCAGTGAGTTCGCTCGTATTCGCCGCTGTCCCAGTTAACGGCTAACAGGCTAACGTCTGGTTTCCGTCTGCAGACGACAGCGTCCCGGCGGAGAGGGAGCCCGGCGAGGTGGTGGACAGCTTGGTGGGCAAACAGGTGGAGTACGCCAAAGAGGACGGCGGCAAACGAACAGGCATGGTCATCCACCAGGTGGAGGCCAAGCCGTCCGTCTACTTCATCAAGTTCGACGACGACTTCCTCATTTACGTCTACGACCTGGTCAAGACTTCCTAAAGACAGCGCACGTCCCGACAGCGCCGCCTCGACGCAGCGGAAAAGAAAAAACTGCAGCTGACGTCGATGCGTCTGAAGCATTTAACCCAGCACACGTTCCTCCGACCATCCCCGACACAAACGCTCAGATTCTTCCCAACGGGAACGGGACGGTTTGAAGGCGGAGCCGCCTGAAGCCCTCAGGAGGAAACGATCACGTCACCCAGGTTCATCTTTAATTGGTTGATTGGTGTTAGACCGGAATACCTTCCAGGATCATCAGACGGATTCTTTTAAATCATTTGTTTTAAATATTAGTGAAGGCGTTCAGTTAGATGGAAAATCGTAATTTTCCCACCCGAATAGTTGGATAAACCGATTCGGTCGATTGTAGCCGACTTCTAAAACATCAAGATCCTGGAGCATTTCCGGAGAAAACGTTTGAAACTCCAGAGAGAAAATGAGCAGAAAAAATGTAGCTAGAGGCTGCCGAGGGGCGGAGCCTGATTTAAAAAAAAAATCCCTGATCACTTAAAGAGAAGAAGAAGAAGCAGCACAGACTGGATCCCCGACATGAAGGAGGAGTTTTACTGTTTTTAACGCAGCTTTTACGATCACCTCTAATCAGGACAGAAATATGGAAGCCCATTTCTACCAGAAACAAAACTGAAAAATACTTAAAAATGTAAAAAAAAAAAAAAATCTTACTATGGGTCAGTATTATTACATAGAAAAAAAATGTCAGAAAATATTACATAAGCAAACCTTTGTCCTTCTTTTCAAAGTTGAAAAATTACAACGAAATCAGAAAGAAATGTAAACTTTTGGCTAACATGGCTTGTTGTGTAAATTTAGCTTTTTTTTTAAAGTTATTTTTATGATTGAATGATTTAGGCTCCTGTGATGCATGGATAAAGAACCGGAAGCTGAACGGCCAAAACATCTGTAAACATCTGCCTCCACACTTAGCGACGGCCCTGCTAGCAGCGCTGTGTCGTACCGGATCAAAATGGCTCCCAATAGCTGCGATGCTGTTCCGACCCGTTCTCCGTTTTCTGGGGAAGGCCTCCACATTTTGATTTTTTTCTTTCCTTAACCAATGCTCCTTTGGAAAGCGGCCCACAGCATCACAGATCTTCCTCCAAGCTTCACACTGAGGTTTAGTTTTTTTCATACCAGACCCACCTGGAGGTTTTATTGGAGAAACGCTCAGCGTACAGGAAGTTGACCAGTTAAGGTCCCAGGAGTATCAGTGACGATGGAAGAGAAAACACTCCCTAAGCCTTAATTTAAAGGCCCCCGCCGCACCTTTACCAGGGATGCCAACAACTGTGGAGGATCCTGAGTGGGTGTGGAACAGCAGCTGGTGGAAGAGAGAAACATCCAGACGTTGTACAGATAAAACCAGACAAACGTTTTCCATCACATAGCGCGCTACCTACTCAAGCTCAGTGTCACAAGTATTCAGCTTCAGAAAAAAAGTCAACAACTTCCTGTCTTGAAGACGTCTGCAGGTAAAAACTGTGAAGAAAAACGTGGCTTTTTGTTTTTATTTTTTATCTTTGCTTTTGATTGATGCCAAAAAAAAAAACAAAGTCTCCTTCTTGTTGTGGATTTGTTTAATGTTCAAAATGATGGGACAGCTTTTTTCTTGTGATTTCACTCAAGCCTTTAAATTTAATGGTGTTTGTCTTTTCTAAGTCGTCGATGAAGGATCATAGGGTTGAGAAAGGAGGCCGGGAATTTGCCTGTTTGCCGTCTTTCCGTAGTTTATTTCAGCTCCCCTGCTTACTGAGGGCCGTTTAGAAGAAAAGATGGAAGATCGTTAGTGAAGCCGACTGGCGTGGAGCTTCAGAGATCCACCAGAGGAGGAAAGGAGGAGAACATCCACGTTGTTTCTGGAACATTTTGGGCTTCAGAAGTCACCGGAAATTCAAATAAAGACAAACGAGCATCAGAGCTAAAAGCAGGCGACACTTCCTGTTTAAGACGTTTAACGTTGGAAGTCGCATCATGGTTCCGTCCCTGTTTTTTGTTTTTTGGCTCTAAAAGTGCGTTTTTTTTTTGTTTCAGTCAAAAGATAAAATTTGTCGACTAAAGGAGTGTAAACCTCAAATGTTCATTAGGCTCTTATTTGCAGCATGTAAAGAGGAAGAACAAGGTTCTCAGTAAACAAAAGAAATTAAAGGCCATTAAAGGTTTAGATTTTTTTTTTCCACTAATGTGCTTCTGGGTTTTTTTAATAATTTAGTCCAGACTGAAGGTTTTCCATAAACATGTTTTCTGTTCCGATTGAAATCTTTTATTTTTAAGGTGATATTTTTCAATCTTTCCACCAAGTAGAATATAGGGATATCCCAATCTCACAGTAACATTTATTTAAAAAAATATTTAAATATAAAGGTATATGAAAACATAGATGCAAATAGCAAACAGGAGCATCATCACATCCCTGAAGCATAACATAATGGAAGAAAATAGAAGAAACATCTATGGAACTTTTAACTTTTCCCATATTGATGTTATTTTCCATAAGAAACTAATTGCTTTTAAATACAGTATTTCTTTCCCTTTAATGTTTAAAACATTCTAGCATTTAGCATCACGGTTACAAAAAGCTGCGGAGAAACGAGCTCTTCATCCTGCTTATTGGTGGAAATTTAAAAATTAAGCAGTAACTGCAAATGTTTTAGTTTAATGAATATTTAGCATATGCTAACAAGCTTGCTACTTAGCAAATGTATGTTGGTAATTAGCATGTATTAAATGTTGCTGTGTTCTGTGATTTTCATTGCTTATCTGAAAAAAAATGTTTCCAAAGGTTTTATTTATTCAGGTTAACTGATGGAATTAGGAAAAAAATGAAATATATTAGATTATTAAAATTATTTTGGTTTTAGCTTTTGGAACTTAAATAGCTAAAATGACTAGCTACAAGCTAACTTAAGCTAATTAGCCACATGCTAACTATCAGCTTTGCCTTGAGAGGATGGAGCTTTGAGTCATACGGTTTAAACCAAATCAGAACATTTTAAAACAATGAGTGGTATTAAACACAAATTAGCATTTTGCAAGTTAGCTTAGTGGTTCTCTCAGTGCTACTTCAGCTTTACGCGGCTTAATGTATAATCGGAGCTTTAGTGTTTTTAAGTGTTAAAAATATCCTCCTTGAGGTTAATTATATTTCTTTATTTAGAATCATGTTCAGATCACTCTCAGCAGACACTAGTTAATGGTTGATTCTGTAATAAAACAAACATGATGTAGATTTAGAGTATCGTGTAGCTGTTAGCCACATGCTAACAGCTGTTAGCATATGCTAAAGTCGTAATATTACAAGAATAAAGTTGTAACATTACGAGAATAAAGTCATCATACAGTAACCCATTTCAGAAAGAAAGCTTGGAGCTCCGCCCAGCAGATGACGGCCGACCAGCCCCACCAATCAGCAACCAGAGTCCACTTTGACATCCTGCCCAGTTTGATGCTGCTGCTAAAAGATTTCCTGATTTATCAAACCGATGCTAAAGTAGAACTTCATACGATGCTCCACATTCCTCATTTTAGGGAAGAAAGGGATTCTGGGAAGAATTGTCATAAAATATAACCTTATTTTTGTAATATTCTGACTTTATTCTCGTAATTTTACAACTTTGTTCTCATAATCTTATGACTTTGTTGTTGTTGCGACTTTATTCCCTTAATTTCGACTTTATTCTCGTAATGTTACGACTTTATTTTTGAATTTAAAAAAACAAAACAACAATCTCTAGCCTGGCCCTTATACTCCGTCATGAACTAGCCTTTGGTTAAAAGTGCGGAGGTATTCTATTTAAGCTAGGTTAAGCTAGCGAGCTATTTGCTAACTGTGCTTTGTATAAAATATTGTGTGCTAACATAGAAAAGACTGGGTGGAGGGTTTTTATTAAGCTGGTCAAAAATTTTCTTTAACATATTTGTTTTGTTTTGCTCTGAATAACATTTAAATCGTTTAAAACCTGTAACCTTTATAATGAAAACTTATAGCTTCAGTGATTATAAAAGCCATTAGTTATCATTTTAACCACATGGCAATTAGCATAAAGCTAAAAATACAGAAGAATTCTACCTAAGCTAGGTTTTGTAGCCATTTGCTAACCATCTTGCGTAGAATCCTGCTCTTTGATGAAGTGATATTTTAAGTTTTTGAGAGACTAAATCAGTATTTATTAGATTGGAATATCCCTATAAAACTATTTAATCTTCTAATAAGACTCTTCAAAGCCAACAAAACTGAGCGTAATGCTAGCTTAATTGTTTATAACTTCCTGTCTTTTAAATGTTTTCCTCTATTTCTAATAATCTTCAAACTTTATATAAATTAGATATTTAAAATGGAATAACTGCTGAACTGTTTGGGGACATTCTGGTGCCTTTGTTGGACTGAGGAACAGAAGATGGCGGCGTATGTAAAACCTTCAGTGTGCGTGGGTGTACTCCGTGACGTAGCTAGTTAGCAGGCAGATAACAACGATTATTACTTCTGTTCATGTATAGAAAAAAATCCCCCATTGATCTGTAAGTCTCTGAAGCTGTGCAGATGTTGTTTTTTTTTAATTAAAAGTGTGACTGTGATCATGTTAGCGGGACGCTACTTTAATTAGCCAACAGGCTGACATCTCAGACGTGTTTCAGCTCATTTTGCTATATGTGGTATCAGGCTATTGTGGTTATCGTTGGAATGATTTGGGCCTTCCATCATCCTTCTGCCTTGTAATATTTGTTTTTGTATGTTTAAATATGTATGTTAATAATTTTTATCGTCAATGGACAAACTTGACCTGCGTGCTTTGTCTTTCTTTCACGGTAGTTTCCTTTCAGCCTTAGCCTAAAGCTAGGTCCAAACCTAAGCCTTAGGTCCAAAATGAAAACCATGTTCAACCATGTTCTGGAACCAGGGGTGTAACCAGAATATTATTTTTGGGGGGGCCATCATGGAGCAAAGAGGTAGCGAGGGGTGGCCAACAAAGAAGAACTTTTATAAACTAAATGCAGAACACAAGCCTTCCTGCTTCGTAATATTTTACAGAAATTGAAGTTTTGAAAATAGTTGATTGTAATATAGCTTTAAACTTAAAAAAATCAAGTCCTTTTTCCTCAAACAAAAGGACTTTATTTTAATTTCAAAAATAGCTATTAGCTACTCTAACAATTAGCATAAAGATCTGAAGGGGCTTCGGATTCTCTCAATTGGTCCAGTGAATTTGATGCTCCTCCTAAAAAGATTTATCTTTTTTAAAGATTTGGTTCTTAAAATTGTGATATTATCTTTCGTCTCTTTTATTTAAATATTAATGTCAAAGCATAACTAAGAGCAGATGTGTGACTGAGGCCCCGTCCACACGAAGTCAAAACGAACACGAAACGCTACTATTTTCCGAAACGTTTGTCTTAAAGACGGAGACGTAAAATAAATGTGATCGTCCACACGAATGCATGAAAACGCTGCAAAATGTATGCCAGGCGTGTAAGTGGCGCTGTGGTGCTAAAGCAAAAATAATCGAAAACAGACAATGAAATGTTGGGCATGCGCAGTAATATTTATACAACAACCAAATCGGGAAATGGCCCTGCGGGTCCATTTTGGTGGTTCAGTCAAATTCAGGTGCTGAACTATGTGGTCGATATTGCTCTG